TCGGAGCGGTGCGTAGTAGTCGAAACCAGAACCAACGTCTTCATGAATCTAAACCGTGGCATGACCTTCTCATGAAAAACCGACGCAGGTGAACTGGACATGTAGAAAACAGAAAGGGGAACCATGCCGGGCCTGTATCAAGCCACGTATTCCGAAAAATAGATCTCAAAAAAAAGGTTGTCTACAGAACCAATCCGAATGATATCGCTTACTCCCTCTCATCAGCGCCGGGGCTGCGACTCCTCTCGCGACTCCTGCTGCGGCCTCGTCCACCACGACCACCGCCTCTTTGCCCACCAGCCTTGCCTTTGTTCGAGGGAGGCGGCCGGACGAATGCATAGTCAACTTGAATTGTCTGGTCGAGCAACTTGGTTCCGTTCAAGTTCTTGATGGCTTCTGTAGCTTCGGGCAGAGTGGAATATTCGATCAAGGCGTATCCCTGCGGTAATTTACGATCAATATCTCTCCATTTTCATCTTGATAGCAGCCGTATAAATAAACGATGGAACCCAAGCGGAGCAAAATCCATGTAAATATCAACCTACCTTCACATAACCCGTCCGGCGATCAAGGTTCAAGTTGAAGTTTTTAATCTCTCCATACTCCGCAAACAGATCGGTCACGTCTTCCTCTGATGCTTCTTCGTGGATGTTGGTGGCGATCACAATCCATCCTTCGATACTGCGCACTGCAACAGCCCCGGCCTGGGTTCGTGGCTCGAAACCGCCGCCAGATTGCGCCGGGGCTTCCTCCTGCTCATGCGAAACTGGCGGATCTACCTCCATTTCTCCGGACATGGTGGCGTAAGAGGGGTAATAATTGGTAGAGGTTTGTAGATCAAAAAGGCTGCCACGAGAAGAAAAGCACAAACCGAGTTCCGGCTCGACGAAATCGTTCACAGTGCCTTGGGTCGCGGAAGCTTGGGAGCGATCATTCATTGCCAGAGGTTAGCTCGCGGTGTGCTTATGTAAGCGCGTTATCAGCCCTGATCGATGGGAACTATGGCTAGAACACAGCAGCAACATATTTCTAAAATCTATGACTTGTAAAGAAGTATTTTCATTTCTCACGGCGATAAAGAATGCAGTAGACTAAATGGTACTCTAATTATGTGATACGAAGCAAGTTTAACCCGATCAGAGACTCCCAATATGTCTTCCAACCAAAACTGATCATGCAGCACATTTTCACTATCCATTGTAGGATGAACAAAGATCTGTACAGTATATAATAACAACATTTGGAGATGCTATAACTGCGTATCTACTGTAATAGACAGAAGAGACAAAGCAGAGGACAGATGGCTACTGTATGGTCGTGAGAGAATAAAGCTCCCCAAACATTGTTAGCACGAAGCCGTAAAATTTCACTTGGCCTGGGTAGCCCAGAATACTATGCAAAACTCAGTTAAGTGACAGGTGCTCCAGTAGCCTATATCTTTCAGACAAAAGTCATATAGCCCTTGGTTACCGACTAAAGCATACTAGTACCCGGTAAAAGCAGAGAAACAGAGTGCATTATCGTGAGGGCTCTAGTCCTCATTCACCGGAGTAGCCCTATGCCCAGTCTCTTGCAAGCAATCAATGAGTGAATAAAAGCTAGCTGCCCTTAACTCGGCCCATGTTGTGTTTCTACTAGTAGTGATACCATCACACAATGTGCTTCTTCACAAAGATCATACTCATGGCAGTATCCTCTTGTCCAAGAGCAAGGACACACTCGTTGAGATTTCCAGAGCCCAGAAACCAAGATGCGCTGGTAAGCTTTGAACAATTGCCAGTCAAGACGTCCAAGCTCTGATAAACCCTCTTTTGCACGTCTAGTGACGATCCAGAATGTGGCTGTCAGCCTTATCCCAGGAAGAACAGAAAGGTTGAGGTAGTGTTGAATGGCGACCAGCCTGGCCAGTTTCGTCTACTTAATCAGCAAGGCTCGAGTATCGATGTGATCTTTGACCCAGTTGGGAACGCCATGATCTTGCGCGAGATAATCAATGACCCCACGAGGAAGTACACGTTTTGGAATTTTAGTGTGCAACTCGACGCCGCAAACTTGCATTTCAGGAACCTAGAAGGGCTTGCCGATGGCTCTCTGATACTCACTGTTCGGATACGAAGCTCGGCCTGTACCGTGAGAGGTAGTATGATGTCGGTGAAGGAGAAGATTTCTGGATTTGCGCCTCCTCGTCTTGAAAGCAAATTGTATAACGACCTTTACCTGTGCGACTGGCCGCGGCAAACGCTTCAGTTGTTCCTCCCAGAAGAGCGGCTCGTGGAATGGAAAACAGTAGCATTGATCCTCAAGTCGTTTGGAAGAATCACAGCAGACCAGTGGTCTGATATGGTGTGGATGGAGGACAGGCCATCTGTTGCTGGTCTGAATTGGAGAGCCATTGAGAAGGATATTAAGATCTACAAGAACAGATTGGTCGTGCCGAAGGCTAAGGGGAAGCAGACATACGCTATCGGTAAAGAAAATGATATCACCTTACTGCAACAGGACCCTGCTATTGACTAATCTACTTGGATCCTCGTGGCATCCCCTAAGGCTCCAACTCATGATATCAAGCAGTCTGTGCAGATGTCCTGGGATTTGATATGGCTTGTGACCCACAGTTACTAGGTGTTTGTATACTAGACTTACAAACAGAATCGTCACAAGATAACCCTCTGAAAAGTGACAGAACAAAGAGCTTCAGGAAATTGTGTAACCCTCTAGAGTCCTTATAGACATTTGCTTCACAAATCTAAGTCAATGACAGATAGGCATAGCCTTCCCATGGATAAGGGGAAGCCTGGGGCGCATTCCCCGACTGACCTTATGCACGAGAGTGGGCTTTATAGGTATGAGCGTGCCAATGTGTCTTCTGTGGACTTTAGGAAGACCTTCAAATGATTTAGTTCCTAGTAGGCTGGCTTGCTGGGAGGCTGGGCGGATGATGAGGTCTGTTTCGGTTTTTTTTGGCGTTGACACACTTGGTTGCGTTTGTACCTGCGAGCTGTGGTATGGTCAGAAATTACTAGATGCTTGTCTTAAAGCTGTATTTTGAGAGCGTCTTCCTAGGTTACATATGTATAGCTGTGAGCTGCACATACACGTCTTTCGATTCAAGCGAGAAGGTGGCGTCTACACAGAAAGTAAACAACCATACTATTTCTGACGAAGAAGTGAAGGCCGAACTACGCAATGACTTATTACCTCAACTAGCATCGGGAGCTCTCATTTTCTTTTCTTTTCAAATAAATCTTTATTTCTCAGGTGGAGCGGAGATAAGTATTTCCATCTCTAGACGTCTGAAATGAAATCCAGATATCTTTGCTGTGACGTTATGCCAAATTGATTATAGAATCGGTTTGCCGACCCTGCGATTCAACAGAAGTGGCTAAATTGTCTCACAGAATGAATTATATATGTGAGGCAGGCGATGAGCAGCTACCAAACAGCTACCCCATCCGAATATAATACATAAGGAAGTCAACGAATTGCGAAAAAAGCGAGACCGAATTGAATTCACTTTCCTCCAAGATTATCTCCCAGCGCCACGGCTTCTGGTTGTTGAGTGAGATGAAACCAACGTTTCATTTCGTGTCAGTTGTGGCCTTGTCGTTGATCAGAGTTTGACCAGTTTAGTTAGACGTCTCTTGATGCAGCAGCTTATTTTCGGTTGTTGCGCTGCATGGCCAAAATCTGGACCATACGGATGAAGATGTTGATGAAGTCAAGCTCAAGGCTGATGCTCTCGTTGACAACATCCCTCCGGATAAGGCCCCTCTGAGCCATACGAGAGTGGTGCAGGACCTTCTGCACATCGTAGAGAGTGAAACCACCGAAAACAGCAAGACCTCCATACAGCCAGATCTTCTCAGACCACATCAAAGTGCGGGTGGCGGTAGCGGGGAGGACAAGAGGAGCGAGACCAGAAAGAGCAACGATGGTCACACCGGCGAGCAGGGGAGCACCAAGGTACAGGTACTTGTCCTGCTTAGCAGTAGCACCGACAAAAGCAATAGAGCCCATCATTCCAACAGTGTAAAGACCAGCACGAGCAAGCAGAGCGGGGTGCATGAACATCAAAGGCGAGAGGAGGGCTGCCTGGGTGACGTTGAAGGCGGTCCAGAGACCGTACTTAGCCAAGTAGCTGGGTGTCTGTTAGAGAGATTCTCTGCAATACAGATCAGGCAGATAAGAGAATAAAGACTTACTTGTCGGGAGAAGTGTAGTAAGTACCATACATGGTTCCGATGCTTCCAACCAGGCCTAGACCAGCGACAAGCCAAGGGTTCATGGCCATCAAACGGTAAGACCATCCGTTCATGTGCATAGCGCGAGCAGCAATACCAATAATAGCGATACCAAGTCCAGTGTGCATGAAAGTCTCGTTCAGGTAGCTGCGCTCGTAGGGAGCCATGCCACCATCCTCTCTAGTTTCGCGGTTGAAGATCATGTTGGTTGCCAGGATTGTTCCACCGACGATGGCGGCGCCATACAGCAGTCGCTGAGTGAGATTGCCGCCCTGAGCGGCACCGTAGGTAGGTTGCATGTAGGTACGACGGAAGGCATTCTGGAAGGTCTGTCTAGATTTCGCAAAGATCGAGGAAGTGGCCGGGCCGAGAGGCTTGGATTGAGATGGCTTGAAAGGTGAGTTATGGAAGAATCGAGCAGTGTTGGCAGTCTTAGGGACTTGACGCAGCGCCGATGGAACGGCGAATGGACGCCGTAAAAAGAACGCCATGGTTAAAATGGGATGGCGAAGTTGATGGTTGATGATGGCGGTTTAGCGTCGAAGGAGATGCAGCTATTTAAAAGCCGCGGGCCGGTGATATCAGCATTTCGGCTTTTCCGGATTAGGAGTGTTTGCTCCCGTACCTCATGCATGTTTGCTTCTTTCACTGGTGCTAACCCGAAAGTTCGAGAAGTGCAATCACGTGTGACTCACAGCTTAGTAACGGGAGTCGGCGATAACCAGGTTCCATTCTCCGGTATCATAGTGGGGGAGGGGGAAAAAAGAGCTGCAGTTTTGCCGATACGGACATTGCATATCCCCGATTTTCTTATTCCCTTGATCTCTATTGCAAAGAGGTGGAACTGGAACTACCTTTACCAATTGACCGTGATTCTCAACATCTATTGCCCCATTGTCGGCTTTTAGAGCGTCAACGCGCATAACTATCAGCTCATCATGTCTTCAACATTAGAAACCATTAACCTGCCCCATCTCCCTTCTTCTCTGCCTGTGCATGTAGCTCTCTACCGAGACATTCAGAATGCCCCATTTCTTCGACAGCAGCTCATCTCCGGGAACTCGGACTTCGAATATGCGTTCATTGATGCAAGCATGGTATGGCATCGATGTCAAGAAAGCTCGCTAAAGAAATCAAGGACCCTGACCACGACATGCAGGTTCTCTCGAAAGCGCACGTTTCGTCCGCAATTTTCAGGGCAGTAAATGACTATCTCAATGAGCGTCTCAAGTCGCGTAATGTCCACTCGGAGATTGTGTTCTCTTTTAGTCCCACGAACAATGTGGGTTGATTTGTAGCTGATAACTCGATGCCCCAAGAGCTAACAGCTTGCAGATTGCTGACTCCTTCCGGAAATTCGGTATCAGCGACTCAACGAAAGATTTGTTAGTGGTAAAGGTGTCTATAACACCGGAAATTACCCATGACTCAGTAGCGACACATCTGGCACAATCCGTCGAAGGCTCACCTGTGCCCTTCAATGACGAGACTCTGTCTGAGATCGCAGATGTTGCAAAAATCAAGAAGGCCTACAAATTGGGAGCCCTGCCTTCTGCCCCTGCGGGTCAAGTGAACGGTGCTGGAAACAGTGATAGCATGCGACTCGAAAATTCCATTATCGGTGCGATTGCCCTGCGAGGGGCGACTTGATTGCTTGATGGTCTTTAACTTCCCACGTCGACCTGGAGTCCATATAAGTGACCTCAGGTCGAACGACTTCCAATACAATAGGCTCCATCTCGCCTGGTTGACTTCTTTCGACGAGACTCTATGGGCAATGGTGCCGAACGCAGGCGGCCAAGCGAGGTTAGTGGATGAGTACTCCACTACAACACAAGTTTTGGCTCTCGCTCCCTTGACACAGGCGCGAATGGCGCTATGCCTCTGAGCAACATTCGTGTTCAAATATTATATTATCAGTGACTGAATGATATGTCGCCTCGGAACGCCTATTCACGATATATACTACACAACACTGAAAGAGCTGATCTCCCAATACTGAGACTTGTATCTAACGCACATTATTCAAGAATACACTAGATCCTTAAAACAGCCTTCAGTGGCAGTTAAGAGCCCCCCCGTAGATCAAATACAAACGAATGCAAACATTCGCTGTTAGGAACCGGGAATACAGTCGGTTGCCCTGCCCACTGATAAATAATTCCCAAAGCGGTAATTCAGCAACTTGTGCCAAGACGAACCCGTTCAAGCGTTCTCTTTCCAACAATTACTCGACAACTTGACATACATCTCAACTGTACTTGCCGACATGGATTATCAGTGAAAAGGAATACGGAGAATTTGCGGGAGCTTCATATTGGTGGATTGTCTGCGCCCATGCCAATCGCTTATTCCTACAAAGCACAGCGAATTACCGTAGCTCGCCACCATGAGCGCCGCGGCGGACGTTATCGTCCTCTCTTCATCCCCAGATTGCATGCCCAAAGGCTCTCCAGCGCAGCCTGTTCATGATCCCGTGAAGCTGTTCGATTTGTCCCCGCCAAGTTCATCCCCCTCTCCGGTACGATCGCCATCAGAGTTATTTCAACTTCCTACGCGCTCCAGGTTTTTCGAGGTTGAAACCCCATCACGGAATAAGGAAAACAAGACACCCAAGGAACCGCCGGCCAGAAAGCTTCATTCTAGCTCGAAATCGAAAAGCACTTCCTTAGAGGACAAACCAAAGCGGAGGGGGAGAAAGCCCGCAAGTGAGTCGCAGACGGTACTTAGTGGTCCGGGGCCCGCTGGCCTAGCACAAGAGGGCACGCCGAAGAAAACTACAGGCGCCAGGACGAAGCGCGTGGATAACGAGGGCAAGCGTGGAAAAGCTGCGAATAAGATCATAACAGGGAGGGTTGCGAAGTCTGGCAATGCGCAGACTAAATCGCTCCAGGAGAAGATTATGGATGTGTCGACCCCGAAAGCAGTATCGCAATCGAAACCTTCCGGCGAGGCTGTTGATCTGGGCAACGATGGACTACAATTAGAAGCTGCTGTGAAGCGGAGAATGGATTGGACGCCCACTAAGGATACCACTGTGCAAACGGTAGGGTTGAGTCAGGAGGAAGTGGCAGAAGCCAACCCCAAAAGTTTTGGTAGCCTGTTATCTGAGTACGGCTTCAGTGATGTTTCTTCAGCTTGCAGTGATGGTAGGAACTTTGGGAATGGCGTCCCAACGAAGCGTAGACGTATAGAGGTATGGCGTGTATTATCCATCTCGCCCGGCGTTTCAAGCTAATACTCATGCTCGAACAGCTCGTGGACTCCAGGTTATTTGGCTCATCGAAACCAGTGTCGCATGATATCGACGATATAAACCTCACTGACGATAATCAGCGAAAACAGCCAGAGCCCATGCAAAAACAGAAGAAACAGACTAAGAAATTCACGAGCCTTACAGCTCGTGTAACAGCAAATTATCTCAATGATTCCCATGAAGGATCGGATTCGTCAAGCAAAGAAATCACTACTTCTCGAGAAAGTTCAGCATCTGCAAGAACTAAGGGCTCGAAAAGCAAAAGGAAAGCCATCTCAAAAACCAAGGAGCCTGAATTCATAGTTCTTTCACCTGAAGAAGCCACAAAATCTCTAGAAAAACAGGAACTCGTTTTCGGAACTTGTAGTCAGTTAGAGCGAGAGGATTCTCCGACCTCACTAAAGGAGCTACAGGCAGCCATCAGTGAGTCGGAGAGGTATGCTATGGCAGAGCCTTCTCCTCTGAGTTCAACACTATGTGCAACACCCACATCGCGTTTTACTACTGCAAGAGGTCTATGGTCTGTTGCAGCCAGAGATCTAGAAGGGTCATTGATTCGGCAGACGGAAGTTGTGGACCTGGTGGATACGCCTGGGCCTGCTAAGATGACGGCCTCGATCAACGATACCCGTAATGAGAAGGCGTTGGAGGATGCTAACATAGTTACTCTTGGAGAACCATCTGATTTGCCCCGGAGTGAGGCTCCTAGGCTCAAAGCTATACCAGCTGCGAGAAAAGAGCCATACCCGGTGCCTGGTATACCCACGACGAAGGCTAGCGACAAACCTAAGGAAACCACCTCACAACATTCTGAGCCACAACCTGAAATGCCGCATTACAGCGGTTTCACCGATGCTAAATTATCGAAACAGGTTGCCTCGTACGGTTTCAAGCCCTTGAAAAACCGAAAGAAAATGATCGAACTTCTCCAAAAATGCTGGGAGTCCAAGTATGGTAAAAGCACAACCTCAGAAACTCATGCTGGCTCTCAAACCACATCCACAGAACCAACTCCCGAAATCACCTCTTCCGAATCCAAGACATCTCAGAAACAGTCACGCAAAACCACCAACTCTCGAAAGACAACCACAAAGTCCAGAAAAACACCATCAACCAACGACACTATCACAGCCCCAAGCACTCAATCAAAACCAACCCAAGCACCACCAACACACTCCTTCATCAACGTCGAAGAAATCCAAGACTCAGAAGAAGAAACCCTACCTTCACCCTTCCGAGTCCACAACCGATATACATTCCAACCTCCCGAGACCCAACAAGCCTTACCCGTCTCAAAAACACTATGTAGCCCATCCCGCAGCAAACCCCGTACCAACAAGTCGACGACTAATAATGGCGCAAATCCTGATCAGAAACAACCAGAACTAGCCGACCAGATCCTCAAGGCCATGCACGCACAGCCAGCGGGAACGCCTGGTCGTCCGAGCTGGCACGAGAAGATCCTCCTGTATGACCCTATTATCCTCGAGGATTTCGCCACCTGGTTGAACACCGAGGGTCTAGGCCTCGTTGGCGAGGACCGGGAAGTCGGTGCCGGGTTCTTGAGAAAATGGTGTGAGAGTCAGGGGATCTGTTGTTGCTATCGGTGAGCTTCCGTGAGCAGCGAACGTCAAATGTATATGTCTTGGTTTTGCCGCACTATTTTTACTATTTTCCCTTTCTGGAAGCCAATGTCTTGCATCGGAGACGTTTTTGGGAGCGGATGGAAGCAAGGCAGTGTTTCTTGGGCGTGTGGAAGTTTTCCTGGAGTTTGGCATATTTATCATTGGAAATACCCTTTTATAGAATTTTATACTTGTGGATGAAGCCAAAAAGCCTACACAACTAAATACAATCTAGGTTACTGCATATTCGCATAGATTTTGTCTCTATTTCTGAGATTCCGAAGAATAGCCCTTTCTTTTCCTCAACAGACCGACTGAACCTGATCATAAAACTACAGTAATATACAAATAACCATCGAAATTAATTTGTACAGTAGAAATCATAGTAAAAGAAATAAGTATAAGCGGTATAAAATGGAAGATACAAGATCTCATCACAAGATCCCCGCTCAAGATAACGCGAGAGGGGCACGAAAAGACCCCAGTCCAGATTCACTCCTCATATAATTCGTTGTCTTCTGCTGACTGTTGCAAAGAAGGGGCATCCTCAGTCTGCGGGTTGTCGTAGACGTAGGATGAGTCAGGTTTAACCGGATGAGCTCCCTGGGCAATGACCTGTGCAGGAGAAGTATAGTAACCTATCTGGTTGTTATGAAGTTGTTGGATCTGCAGCGGCGCAGGATATTGCGAGGGAAAGGTTTGCAAAGGCGGAAGCCCTTGACCCAGTGGGGGATTAAAAACACTGTACTGGGGAGTGGGGAGCCCGTGAGGCATTCCATCCATCTGGCCGTCGAGGGGTTGGTGAAACCGCTCACGGTAAGAATTAACGGCTGTGTCTTGATGGAGAGTATCTGGTTGGAGACGGCCAATTTGGGGGTAATTAGTCAGTGAACCAAGTCCTTCTCCATTCTGTTGCGGATGATAGCTAGGGGCCGTTTGTGACGGGCCACTGGCAACAGTGTCTAGGCCAGGATGGTTCAATTGATTAAGACCCAAGCTTCTAGCTGCCGGAACTTGCGCGGTGCCTTTCCCGCTGTAGTCCCTGCGATGTTCTGTGCCTACGAGGCTTGGCCAGGAAGTGTAGGTAGGAAAGGTCGGCAGAGAGGAAAATTTTCCCCAAGAGTAGTTTGCTCGAGAAGTATTTCTTGCAGGAATGTTGGGGAGAAGCACAGCAGGAGGTTTTATGCCATGTTTAAGCCATGCAACTTTGGTGGCCCATGTTTTCCACTGGAAGAAAGAGACGAAAATGTCAGCATGGATGTCAAAATATGATACGGAACTGTGCTTGTGCTCACATCATCGAGTTGTTTTTCCAGCTCCTCGATTTTGTTCCTGTAATTCTGTTCGCGTCTTTTAAGTCCATCAAGCTCCTCGTCCTGCGTTTGAATTCTTTCGTCCTGGTCCCTACTCCATCCGCGATAATGAGTGACATGAGTGGATGCATTTGTTTCGCCGCACCATGAGTTTGTCTTGATACAATTTGAACATTCTGTGTCCTTGTCACTGTTGCATCTCGACTTGAATAGCTATTGTTTGGCAAGTTAGTAGGACAACGATAATAAAACGGCGTCTAGATGCAGCAGGACGGAAATGAACTGGGTTATTTATTTATGAATGAGATGCGGGCTCGATCAGCGCACTTACTCTGCAGTAATCACAAGCTGTAGGCGCTCTTGTGAGAGGCTCACGCTTTTTGAATTGTTTGTCGTCAGGGGCCCCATTTGGGTATTTTTCTTTTGGGTATTCTTCTTTCAGCGCTTTCTCGTGCTTCTCCTTTGCCGCTACCCATTCGGCCATCATTTTATTTTTTCTTTTATGGTGATTAGTGAGGTATGCATCTCTCCAATCTAATTTACCTCTATTTTGCGTAGGTTCATGATTTTTCCGAGCTTTTTTCTTTGGTGGCTTCCGCGCATTTTGATGAGCTGTAGCATCTTCCAATTCTTGCGTGGCCTCCAACACAGCCCTTGAGGGATCGGTAGCTTCCAAGGCAGTGGTTATAGGGGCATCGCGATCTTCAAGTGGAGGTCTGGTTGTTGAAATTTCCTCAGGAACAGCTGTAGCAGAAGGTATCTCAGCAGTCTCGACCTGCTGCGAGATTGTCTGTTCGACAAGTTCGGGGTTTGGGGGGCTAAGCTGTATATTTTCGAAGAGCAACGCATCGTCAACAGTATCTCCAGCATTGGGCATCAACAGCTCGTCGTCGTAGCCCTCAAGGGCAGCCTCATCAAATCTCCGTTTGTTAGACATTTCAATTGGTGGGCAGTCCCGATTCGAACAGGTGATGGGACAGTAACTGAGAACTATCGGCACTTGGAAGAGTCTAATGCTCAGAGCTGGTGGAAGATGCAGGCAGCTTAAGTACAGGTGCCAGGGGGTACTATAGGTAAGGGCAATACATGTTGTACACAGGATATTACCGTATATTTATGTTGATCTCTGGGGATTTCGGTCCCGCCTTTCTCGGTGAGGATTCCATTATCAATGTATTCCAAGGGACAAGGACAAACAGTATACAATGAACCGTACAATGCCATACAAGGCTTTCGCTGCGGAGGGCAATTATAGTGAAATCAATGACCTTCATGCAGTCGCAAGATTTGAATGCCATTGTTAGGCATGGGCCATTTGGGTAGGAGGTGGAACGTATGCGCAAGAGTACGGTTCAAAGGCATTGTAGGATAATCTGAAACTGTACATTGCTGTATTTTGTCAACGGATGGTTCGGTAGGGTGAAAGGAGCCAAGGCCTCTCTTACCGCATTCAATAGTAGCGTCCGATGGCCCTTTGTTGCTGTACAAAGCAGTCTTTCGCAAAGAGAGGAAATGCCTGATTGATGGAACATAGAAAGATCGGCCATTGCAAAACTATGGGGATCTCCGTATCCTTAAGAAGTCTGCGGTTGCGTATAGTTGATCGATGTGGTGAATAAGCGGCGGTTCTATTCGGATAGGCAGGTATATCCAATGATTCCAAGAGAGAACAGAAGTAAGAGATATGATGAAACGGGAAAATGGCGAAGACGATTCTAAGGTACATACAGAGACGTTCCAAGAAAAACCAGAAATTGAGCAGCTCCAACATGCAATGTAAAACCAAGCCGATCCTGGAGCAAATTATGCTGCCAAATACTCTCTCTTCAGAGTAAAACTCCTGCCATGCCCATATAACGTCAACAGAAATCGTGAAAAACATCCCGATCGAGAACAATGACACAAGAGTGGACGAAACGAAGCGAGACGAATGCGCCCTGCACCAGCGCACTTCAAGAGGCCCATGACGGTCATCAATCATGATAAGGCAAGAAACTGAAGGCCTTGAAGATGAAAAACAACTCCTGGGAACAGAACACCAAGGTAGACCAAGCGAATGCGACATGAAAGAAGAATATAACGAAAGAAAAGGTAAATATTAAACAATAAGTTTTCGGATATGGGAGATGATATAGGGGTCAACTAGTTGCAAAGTGACGCCGGCCGACAAGGCCATATTGCACAGCAACAAGCGATGTGGAACCCATACGGATGGGCTAGAGTAGTGTAGAAGTCATCGAAATACTTTACCATTTTGAGCCACTGTCTCAAAACTAATTCTGTTCTGATATTTCGAATGTCCTCCATCTTCGAGCCAAGGTGTGAGATTCTTGCACTGGCTGACATCAAATGACTCCAACTGGTTACAGCCGTCAGCCACTGCCTCTACCCCCGCGCCCGTGACTCGAACGCAGCCACGAACTGATAGTCGATTCAGGTGCAAGAGATGAAGGCCAATGCTGCGCAGGGAAGGGTCGGAGATTGCAGAACCACAGAAAGACATATTCAAATAAGTCAACTGAGAACACTGAAGAGCAAGGACCTCTGTTGCTGTATCTGATAATGCGCAACAAAACGACTGTTCAAAGGTTAGTGGATGTTTATATCTCTTTGCGATAACCTCGAGGAAAGTTGGAACCCGACGCCTTACCAGATCCAATTCCTGTAGCTGCTTAGCAGCATTAGTCAAATAGACAATCGCTTGGTCGGTCAAATAAGTGCAGTCGGCCAAACAAAGCTTCCGCAGATTGGTGAATCGCACATTCCCCCAATACTGAAATCCTTGATCCGTGATAGAGGTACAGCGCGTCAGGTCCATTTGTTCAATCCTGTGAGCAGCATGGGACGCAATATGGTGCATTGACCGGTCGGTGACGTGTTTGCAGTATGACAGCGTCAATTTCGTCAGCTTGGGGCAGCCGAACACAGCACCAGCTGCGGTTTGCATGGTGGGCTTAAGAACCCCTTTACTCGTCTTCACAGGCTCATCTTTGTGTTGTCCAGGCATGACCCAGCCAATAATCCGAGCCAAGAGTGTGTCCCCGACTTTCCGGCAGTTGCTCAAGTCCACCTCTTGTAATCCATTTGCCGTGCTCGCCATGTCAAGGATGGCGGATGCAGTGACGTCCCAAACACTTTTCATCTTCCACGCGACGACATTGGAACCGCATGTGGCAGCCAATTTATTGAATCCCTCATCGGTGATGTGAAAGCAATTGCTAATATCAACATAGCGGGGCCTATTCCCAACGAATGGACATATGATTTTCACTAACACGTCATCGGTTATTTGTCGATTATACATGCTTAGGTCCAGATCATGCAGCAAATCTGTGGATGTATTGATGATCTCTGACCAATGAAGGGAAACCGCTCGTACTCGGAAAAGATGATGAAGTTCTAGATGGTTGAAAATTCTCACCAAGATATTATCAGGAAGAACGCCGCGGTTCACTTTGTGCGACTCGCGCTGCGTTTTTAGGGTTGTCGATACAGCGGCCTCGGCCAGTGTGAGGAACGACGAGCTTGTCGAACGTGGTTCAGATGGTGGTGACGGCCGTTGTTGTTCCCCAGAGACCTCCTCTGGTGTCAACGGAGCGACGGATCCGCGTCTACTTTTCAGTCGGACCTTGTCTAAGCCGACATTGAGAAATGGATCTGGGTCCGAGGGACGTAATACGGCTTGGTCGTCCGCCTTGTTGGTGTGCGGACCATCCAGTTCTGTTTCCGTGAGTGTGAGGAGGGGCATCGACCGGCGTCGCGATGCGCTGATTTTAAAGTTGCTATCTCCAACAAATTGTCCAACGTCATCCGCTTCAGACATTACAACATCACCATCGGCTGCCGATTGCAGCCGCTCTTTCGCAGTTTTCTCCACCTGTTGCCGAACATCCTGGGGGCACTTCTCCCAAAACTCGGCAAGGACATCACCGCTAATCATAAGGCACTCGACCGCGTTGATAGTACGCACCGTTGCAGTTCTGCGTGGCGCCAGAGAAAGACTTACAACCTCGCCAAAGTACTGTCCCGCTTTTAGCCGCGCTTTTACTTCAAAGCCTGGGTGTTCAATGGTGTGAGGCACGGAGTGTGAGGCATCCTCTGAGTGTGTACGTTCAGTCAATACTTCAACTTCGCCGCGAACGATAAAGTAGATCTCCCGCCCTTGGGAGTCCTGCTTGATAATGTCTGTGAAAGGAGGATATGACCGGGGTTGGGCGTTAAGGCCTAAGAAATGAAGGATTTCCCCTGGAAGACCGGCGAACAGAGGTAGTTCCTTGAGTAAAAGACGCACATTAACAAGCCCGTTAGCGAGTGCGCTAGAAGCAACTCCATCCGCTAATCCAGGACTGGGGGATTTGCGTTTCTTGTTGACCGACTTCCAATTTAACGCCGTGCCCTCTTGCTCCGCAAGAGACATGTCTTTAGAAAAGGTTTCTCTCAGCCGTTTGTTTCCTCTGCGAGATACAATATCATCCACTGGAGGCGCGGATGTCTCCTTCTTCTTCTTTTCCAAGAGCATCAGTCTTTCTTGAGCTTCATCTCGGATGGCTTGCTCCACATCTGGGAAGTGAGGAAGGATATTTCTGAAGTCTTCCTTCGTTAAGACGATCAGCAGACATCTGGAGCGAGCGATAATGGTAGCGGTCCGCGGGCGATCCATCAGCACGCCTATTTCGCCAAAGAATGCGCCAGGCTCAAGATCTACATATACACTTTCGCCATCGCGGGAAGTAACGGAAACTGCGCCCCGGACCAGCCAATATATGGCCTTGGCCTCGTCCCCTTCCGTCAAGATATAATCATTGGCCTGATGAAGCTGGGGGCGCAGATGCTGTCCCACCGCATTCAAAAAGGACTCCGGAGTAGATTGGAACAATGGGAAAGAGCGCAATCGGTCGACCAGATCCAGCGGGAGAGCTTGAATATGTGAGAAGGCCAAGGGAGAAGGGCGGACCGGGCGATTGGGATTCATGACCGAGTCGAATGAATGAATTAACGAGACCGTATCAGACACCGGCGCGAGGGCTTTGGTCGAGCCTCCGCCGGACCTGCCATGGCGCCGCATGATGAACTAATTGCGTTCCTCGCAGAAGCGTCAAACAGAATGGGTAATGGAGAGATGAAAAGGTTCGGGAGTTTCCAGAGGTAGCATATAGTGTATTTTTTTTCGGGAAAGCAAATCCACGGACCGATGACGTCGACGAGAATTGGGGGGATCACGGGAGAGCTTCAGAATGGCATCTTCGGTCCACGGGGAGGGCGGGGAGGAAAAGAACGGAACCGTTTCGTCGTTTTGGGAGGGTTAAAGTGAGCCAAATGAATTATCCGAGACCCCGGGGAGTTTGAGACGACAATAGGACGCAAGCCGAGAGTCCAAGGAATTTCTGGAAAAGTAGCTAAAAGAGCACATAATGGTTAGAGAGCACAACCCACAGACCAGACAGAGAGCTTTCCGCCGAATACTAATTCATGAAAGCGGGGAATGGGATCACCGAATAAATGCTATGGTTGAGCTCCACCGCGAACTTGGAACTTTCCGCCTGCCAGCAAAAAACTAACCAACTCGAGCCAAGTGGTGCCCGCCTTATCATTTGGGATTCCCTCCGCTCTTTTACGTGCTCTTGTGTTGCACCCACTGCTGTTTAGTGAGGATTCGCCAGAAAAAAAAAAAGAGGAGCCAAAAATTTATACCAATATTTGATAGAACCCAAGAAAAAGAAAGAAAGAAGGCTGGTGTTTTTCTTTTGCTTAGCAAAAGCCCAGAACATATAGAATTGTGTCTCCAGTCAGCGGAGAAGGGAAGTGTCGTGGTAGGGAAAAGTAAAGCCGGAACACATACATTTACGCGACGAAAGTTGAGCTGTGTTAGTGGGGGGTTTTCACCACTGAAACTGATCCGCAATTATTCAGAGCATGGAGTTTCATGACAAATCACCAGAATATCAGAGTATTCCTGCGGCTTATGCCCTCTCAATTGCAGACACCGAGAGGTAGTTAGTCTGATGTACGAAGTACCCAGCTAACTACTAGTATAAGAGAAGAAAACTGGATGAAGGGGAGGTAGGAGAGAACTGCGGGATTTTGGGTAAGTACCTTTATTAAACTTCAGCTGTAGGGAACAGGGAACTACCTACCACGGAGAGGTACAGTCTACAGGTGTTGGTTGGGGCCAGTGAGAATAAATGTATCCTGACGATCGTCACCCAACCCACAAGACTCATTGGACCATTTACTTATGCGGCTTTACATCGATTGAACAGCAGTTTGCTTGCTTTGCTTCCTGCATTAAAAGCATGCATTGCAAAGTAGTGGGAGGGTCCCACACAATCCCTACCACCTACGGGGCCTCTTATAAGTTCTGATAATTAGAATCTGGTAGGCCTTGAGGTAATTGGATACAACAATTTATGCATCTCTACTACTACACATTTCTCTGCCCATTTAATTCTTGTTCCTTGCTGTTTTCTCTACCAGTATGTATTCAAAAAGGGACACCTTCGCAAAAGCGACCTTTCGTCTTCCATAAGCTAACGACATATGTTTCCTCGACTCGATATGACGGGGGCAGCGCAAAGGTGACATCCCATACAATTTGTCACTGATACCTGAGGCAACAAAAGACCTTTTACTATTGGCGGTGATTGGTGCACCTAGCTTCCACGCATTTACCTAAGGTACCAGGTAGTAGGTAAAGTACCTAAGCTAAGTCTGTCAGAAAAAAAATTCTGACGTTGGAATTTAAGACCTGCTTTTCCCGTTTTCACTGTATCGCTGTTACAACAGTCAATGCATGAATAAAGCCTCATCGCTATGTCACTAAAAATTCGGTTCGAAGAGTTGGCCATCTCACGGAGCGGCAGCCACTATCTCTGGCCAGGTGAAAGCTAGGTGCGTATATGGAGGAGTGGAGAGTGTTCCGTTGGGTCGGTGCGAGGCGGCGCTTGACCCAAAAGACCTTGCCGATTCGGAATCATCGCTTACAGCAGGGTTCCATGCGGCTGTGGCCCGTTGGTAAACGGGGAGCACGCCGGTGTGCATCAGATCCTGTCGACTCTAGACTAGTTAGAGCTAAGATGTCGGTACAAGAATCACGACTCCTTGACCAAATAGGTCGAATAGGTCGAATCTTCATTCCGTCTTCGATCGGCGGTTTCCCAGAAGGAAATTAATGTAAGCAGGTCGATTTCCCTTCAAAGATTCTAGAGCGTCCTGCATAAGGCCGTACACCAGACTCAACTTCAGCCCAAGTTTTGTCGTGCGAGCAGCAGTGTAAACATCGTGACGAGCTAAACACAGACGGTGTTTAGTACTTGCTTCTGGGTCAATTTGTATCATCGACAAGAAACGAACCTAATAAACTGTAGATGCCAGAGAATGATAACCCAGCTGTCACTGTAGACAGGAAGTCTCTCCGGTCATGCCGGGCATAATCCACTGTTTCTTCGAATAGACAGAACGCAAGCGCACCGAAGCCTAGTTTTAATCCCATTTTCATTCCCTCTTTGACTCCCCCAACGATTGCTGTGTAGTTCTTCGTTTTGTGGTATTGGAACCATCCGGTCGATGTCGTGGGAAAGCGATGAGCGTTTTCGGCACGGAAGCGATATGCTGACTTTTTACTTCCATGAGACGATCCAATGACCATGCCAACTGAAAATGCCGACATGGCAGTGTAAGGTAGACGTCTTCCGACTTCAATTCCAAGTCTGGGGGGTGCATCGGATTCAAAGAGCTTATCCCAGTGGAGTATCTCCATCAATGTTGAGCCTCGAGGGTGTGCGTCTGACGATTGGTGGGAGTCCATGGTGACAAATGGACTTGATAAGAGTTTGTACCGTAACTATTAATTGGGGATAGTACAAAGTTTCGAGCAGATAACGCGTTATTTAAATCTCAATGAAGCTGATTTCTCTGTGACAAACAATGCTTAGCTACTGCCTTCCTTGTACGTATTGACTTTCCTGTTCTGTTTTCGGTCCGACTTGGCGCCGTCCTTTGCTTTGGACCGTGGCTTAGGTAAGGATTCTGTGTTCTACCAAACAAAAAAATATAAGTTGCATATCCAGATCGAAACTCGGGTGCTGCAATCAGTCATTCTAGATAATATCTTCATTTCCTGTAACCTATGTTTTGCAAGAAGGCTGTTTAGTGTAAGATCATTGCAATAACTACTGTATGATTCTGGTCTGGCGGACAACTCTGGATAAGTAATTTGCTTGCATTCTGAAGCGTACAGAATAATTTACTTATTGAGGATGCTTAAGGGGATATAGAATAGATTATAGTCAAAACAAGAAGAATGGGGGGGGGGATAAAGAATAATGTTAAGTTATATACTTTTTAGACTGAAGCACAACGGATATCCTTTTCCTTGTTTGCGCTCATCTGAAGTAAAAACATCATATGCTCAAACCCAACCGAAAATAAATAGTATATATGTACGCATGTTACGTGGAGTGTAGTTTACAACGTACTATCGTCGCTAGTAAGCAACACCAGCCAAGAAAACCCCAATAAGTATCCTAATAAACTCTTCCAATCCTCTCTGTAGTCCTAAATATGTGAAAGGCTCACACCACTTGAAAAGCGGAGTATCAGGGTCTCGTTCCGAACAAGAAGTTTAGAACATCGATGTATAGCTGTTTTACAGAGTACAGGCTCATTACCTGATGCTAAGCCTACCAATCTGTTCCTGGCAAATAAACCATCAGGGTGTCAGTGTTCAGAGACACTCAAGGACGGTCACGTGATATCAATAAAGCCAACGGCGCCCGTACCGGGAAACTAAAGAGGTCAAGTTCTGAATGCACCTTTATCCTTTTCTTTGGAAATCGAGCGCGGGGTTGCGCTATTTATAAATTAAACAATTCAGCAGACAACTCAAGGTCTGAGGGGAAAAGGACTTCTGGGGACCTACTAAATTTATCGATTGACAACCAACACAAAATTACATCATGGTAAGCTTGACCCCATGACTTACTGTCCGTGCGTGAAGGGTGAACACGATTTCGCTGACTTTGTATGGTACTATAGTCACAGTCTGATCCTCTCAGTTGGACGCTGCTGCTCAAAAAGCACAAGATGACCGTACTCTTGATGCTCCCACCTTCCGCAACGATCCCAACCGCCCAAGCTACACTCCTCCGAGCCCTTCAAACACGCGGTCTAACAGAAATTAATGGTGATCCGATACCAGAAAACTCATCGGATATTGAATTTGGTATCGCAGTAGACAAAAATGATCTGGGGAAGGGTTGGACTAAGCTAGAGTTTCAAACGCCGCAATTTGATGAAGATGAAGCACCAAAGCGAGGGGCGGGGAGGAGATCGACAGCTCCTCTGAGCTTACAAGCGGCTGAAATTAGAAATGGACAATCGGTTGCTTTCAGGTTCCGGAAGCGCGGAGAGGAAACTGAGACGACTGATGAGCTGATTGACCTCGAACTAGAGGATCCTGGCTGGGATGTTGTTCTTCCTAGTCTCGATGATGAAGAGGAAGAAAGTTGAAGTAGATCACACATTTCTCTATCTTGATGAGTATCTTGTTTTGGTTGGATTTTCTTAACTTTATGGTTTTGGCGCAGGGCTGGGGCGAGGTGCTGTTAGATGGCGTTCATGATCTTTCACCGAGTGTCTGAGAATATACATTGACGACTTGACATGTACCCTTACAATCATCTGTATACAAGCAGTCAGAAGAGGCTTTCGTGGTGAGTAGCTTGTAGCCCTTGTTTGTAGCGATCTAAATTGCTTTCCTAGTGTGTACTCCTGCGTAGATCAGGTTGTCCTAAAGGGTTTCATCTATCTACTTCCTAATAAGCGTGAAATAACAGTCTTTCGAAGCCATGCCGGTGTGCTATAATACACGGTTGGATCGCCGTTTCTAGTCGACTAGAAAACAATCAATACCTAGGTATTGACAAGGTACCTCAGAACTGAAACCAAGCACTAAAAATAGATCAAATAAGAAAATCATCCATGTGACAAGCGTCATCTGATTAGAAAAGTAATCTCGGGCTCTTTGATAGACTACTACCCATGCTTGATCAAACAGAGTTGTACCATGAAATTGATTAGAATTGAGCGGCATCATAGATTGCAAGGGATAGCTCCCACTAAGATCGGACCAATCAGGATTAAAAAAGTGCGTTGTGTTAGGAAGCTTGAAGTGTGGTGTTAGTGAGTTATCGCAGGAAAGTGCCAGAATTTTCCATGGTTCTGGGTTAAGGCCAAGGAATACAGACATGCTATGAGCACGCACTAGCGGTCGTCTGGGGCAACGGTGAGTTGACACAACAAGCCCCCGTGTCAACAGACCCTCAAGTGGCTTGAAGCTCACACTAGCTCCTCAGCGTAACTCAACAGGGGAAATTCTGGGGCTGCCACGAAATAGGTCCACAGTCAACATTCTTCGTCGATGAGCTCGTTCTTCAGTTTCATCTCTTCGTCGCCTCATCGTTGTTTCGACACGCCGTCGGTGTAGGGCGTCGCTGGATATTTCGATAAACTGCCCTCCCTGCGCCGATTATCTCGTCCCGAGACTCACTTTCCCCCTGGAGGGAGGTTGTACCTCTTTCATTTCGATAAACAACAATATGGCGATCCCAAGCGACGCTTCATCTATCACCGTTGCAGTCAGAGTGAGGCCTTTCACAATCAGGGAGGCGGCACAGATTTCAAAATGTGAAGATGGGCCCCTCTTCCTTGGAGATGGCTCGTTGGCTGGAGCGCCAACACCAAAACTCAATCAGAAGGGAATTCGATCGATTATCAAGGTTATCGATGATAGGTGCCTGTGAGTGCAGTGCCAATATGTCTACGTTCCTTTGACAACAACAATTGACCGAGTTCTCTCAGCGTCTTCGACCCTCCGGAAGACAACCCCGTACAGAAGTTCTCGAAAAGTGTCGTCCCCAACGGCAAGCGCGTTAAAGACCAGACATTCGCTTTCGACCGTATCTTTGACCAGAATGCCTCCCAAGGAGAGGTGTATGAAGCGACAACACGAACGCTTCTTGACAGCGTTCTTGATGGATACAACGCCACAGTCTTCGCATATGGTGCAACCGGATGTGGAAAAACCCATACAATTACGGGAACGGCCCAGCAACCTGGTATAATTTTTATGACTATGCAAGAGCTGTTTGAGCGTATCGACGAAAGATCGGGAGAGAAGGCGACAGAAATTTCTCTCTCGTACCTAGAAATCTACAATGAAACTATCCGTGACCTCCTCGTCCCTGGTGGTAGTAAAGGAGGCTTGATGCTGCGGGAAGACTCAAATAAATCGGTTTCAGTGTCCGGCCTGTCCAGTCATCACCCCCAAAGTGTACAGCAGGTGATGGATATGATTATGAAGGGTAACGAGTGTCGCACGATGTCCCCGACAGAAGCCAACGCAACCTCTTCACGGTCACATGCAGTTCTTCAAATCAATGTTGCCCAAAAGGATCGCAACGCAGATGTCAATGAACCTCACACAATGGCAACGCTGAGTATCATTGATCTTGCTGGTAGTGAGCGTGCCAGTGCCACAAAGAACAGAGGTGAGAGGTTGTTCGAGGGTGCGAATATTAACAAATCGCTCCTTGCGTTGGGTAGCTGTATCAACGCCCTCTGTGACCCTCGGAAGCGAAACCATGTTCCATACAGAAATTCGAAACTTACTCGGCTCTTGAAGTTTGCATTGGGCGGCAATTGCAAAACAGTGATGATTGTCTGTGTTAGCCCATCCAGCCAGCATTTCGATGAGACCCAGAACACCTTACGTTATGCCAACAGAGCGAAGAATATCCAAACTAAAGTTACAAGGAATGTATTCAATGTCAACCGTCATGTTAAGGACTTCCTGGTGAAGATCGACGAACAAATGAATCTGATTAACGAACTTAAAGCTCAACAGAAGGACCACGAGAGAATCGCCTTTGCAAAGTTCAAGAAGCAGACTGAAAAGAAAGACGCAGTGGTCCGCGAAGGAATCTCTCGTATCCGGAATGCTTATGAACACTCATTGCCTGAGAGGCAGGAAAGGACCGCCAACATGATCAAATCAAGACAAATTAGCCGCAGGATCGGTATGCTGTCTTCGTGGATTGCTGCTTTTGACAGTGTATGTGCAAATTCCGAGCATGAGGAGCCCTTAACGAATCTCCAAGCCATTCGCAAAACGGCACAAGGTGTTCTCCTTGAGTTGGAAAGTAGTAGACAGCACTACCACCAACGACTGTCTAGGAGCACTTGGGACAGAGGTATAAACTCAGCAGTTGAGCACGCCGTTCGTCAACTCCAGGACTTTGGAATCAACGATAATAGTGACCTTGCCAACCTTCATCGCGAAGCAGAGCTCCTGAAATCAAACACAGAGCGGGATGCATTTTCGGCGGTAGCAGAACAGGAGAAAGGGGGGGAAGCTGAAACCGTACAGCTGTTGCTTCAAGCTCAATTTGAGGCCATATCTGCAATTGAGGATATTATGCAAATGAGTGAAGAGGAAGCCGTTGAGACGGGCAAGAATATCCTTTCCAAGATGCTCGACTCCTGCTCGACTGTAACATCTAGTCTTGTGAAACCAGATGGCAGCTTGCCGCCAGCTCAGACATTCAGCCCGTTCAAGGCCATGTCGCCTAAGCCGAAGAAAAGAGTGAGTCTTGCAGCACTCCCTGCTGGAAAGACTCTCGCTGCACCGATCAGTTTGGCACCGGCAGCACCTGCCTCGCCCGGCAAGGGATCTCCCCGGCGCCGTCGGTTGGGTGTTGGCCGAAAGAGTGTCACATTCTCGCCCAAGAAGTCTCAGGCCAAGTCAACGAAACGAAGCGTACGTTGGAAGGATGACGAGCAAGACGGTTCTCTGGCCGAGTTTCAGAAGACGCCGCAAAAGCCGCGGGCGCAACTTTCCCCCGAAGGCCTTCAAGGCAGTCCCAACGAGCCCCCATTGCCTAGAACGTCACCTGTTCCGCGTGGCATTCCAGTGCCCAGTCGTAATATCAGTCCTTCGTATGGTTCTTCGCCAGTCCCTGCCCCGCCGGAGCCAACGTTGCATGTCCCAAAGAACAACCGATTCAAAGCCGGCTTCCTCTCCAAGAAAACTAGCGGCTCACCAATTGCGCCTCCTCCTTCGACCTCGCTCCCTGCCTCAGACGGTGAACATTCTCCCCTCCGCAACATCGAGAACAGCAGCTTTCTGAACCGCGCACCGATTGACCGTCCCTCTAGAATTGCGGTCCGTACTTCGAGTGGAAGCTACACCAGCAGCCCCGCATCGGATAACAAGGAAAGCTGGAAGGCAAACAAAGACGATGCCATGCGGATCAGTTCGGCGATGAGGCGCATCTCCGGTGGACATTTTGGTGCTGGTGCTTCTGCCAATTCTCTTCGGGTTCATCGTCGCCGGAGTCCGGGTTCTGCAACGTATGGCAGCTCTCCACCCGAAAACACCATGTTCACCGCGCAGGCAAGGAGAATGGCCAAGGGTGAGAAGGAGCACGAGACCAAACCAGGAGTTTTGGGGCCCCGGAATCTTCCCATTATGAAGAACACCGGACGACGGACTACTTTCGGAGGGGATATCCGGCCCCGAGACATCAGTCTCACCAGCAGGGACGCTATTCGACTCAGCGCTATGGCAACCCCCATTCTTCAAAGGCCACCCGAGAGCCTCTATTCCAACTCTGGAGCAGGATGGAGGTGACTTTAATTACTGATTCGGGAATTTTTGCATTGCATTCCGGGGGGAGTGTTTTACCAATACTTGGGAACGGTGTTTCGGAGAATAGATACCATTTGCTTTTTCTTAACTTATATTTTCGACACCAACCATGAGATCCGGTATCCGGGTTTTACCGTTCTCCTCGTTCTGTTGCGCTGAGAGCTTCACCAAATGATTTGGAAACATGCTGGAGTTTCAATTTCTATTCGATGTTAAATTTTTTTTTTTTTCATTTTGTTCCTTTCTTTCCCTTCCTTTTTCCCTCTCTGTGTATGGCATATAATGTTTCCGGAACGTGTACAATATCGGATGCGACGTTTGAAAGGGTTTTTATACAAATACGAAGCCAAGACTGTTGTCTCTACCTTAATCTATTTTCGGTCTTTAATTAAATAAATTAATTAGTACGCCGCCAGTCATTATGTCATTGCGCGAAATGACGCCACTGCAGAAACTCCGCAATCTGACAAATAGAGGAATGAAGTCTATTTCTTCCTCGACATAATTATTTAGTTATTTCCTTCCAGTTCCAACGACTAATTAATTACCTAGATTGTTGCTGCTAGAAAGCTAGCTGGTTAGTAGCACAATCAACGTTAAGCCTGAGAAGTTCAATTTTAAATTGACAGCCGGTGGGATACTAAAAATCACATTCTCTGCCCTCGCAATAACTTTGCCGGTACCCCTCAGCGGAAACCTCGAGGCAAATTCATTTTGCGAAGCAAATTGACCGCCAGTGTTCAAGTATCACGTAAAAATCCCCAGTTGAATGGCTTTCGCCGCACCCGCGATTGGTTCGACCTTATTCTCACGAATTTTCCGTCCGTTCTCCACCAGCGCTCCGTTTCTCTCTTTAACACCTGAGTCTGCATCACGCAACATGTCCAACGACACGCAAATTGCGACTCTAGCTGCTGGATGCTTCTGGGGCGTGGAGCACCTGTTCCGCAAGAACTTCGGTAATGGAAAAGGTCTCCTAGATGCGAAGGTTGGTTATTGCGGTGGATCGACGGCGTCGCCTTCGTATCGAGCTGTGTGCACCGGAGACACCGGCCGTAAGTATTGATTTCTATACTTCGCTGCAACCTATGTTCCCGAGGCTAATCAAGGATGATTCTTGCTTTGCTATATGCTAGATGCCGAAGCGGTACAGGTGACGTTTGATCCCTCCATCGTTACCTACCGTTCTCTTCTGGAATTCTTTTACCGCATGCACGACCCCACGACTCTGAACCGCCAGGGACCCGATATCGGCACTCAGTACCGTAGCGTCATCTTCACCCACGGAGACGAGCAAGAGCAGATCGCCAAGGATGTATCGGAGAAGGTTAGCCAGGAGTGGTACAAACAGCCTCTCTCCACTGTCATTGTGCCTGCCGGTCAATGGTGGGATGCGGAGGAGTACCACCAGCTCTATCTGAACAAGAATCCAGCGGGCTATGAATGTCCTGCTCAGTATGTTATAACCCGAGCTCTGATATAAGCCTCCTTTTCTTGTGAGGGGGAGTCAAGGGCTAATGTTCCACGCAGCTTTGTGAGAGACTTCCCGCCTCTTTCTGCCTGACTGGAGGCGAAGATATGAAGTATGAACTTCGAGAATATGCCCGTCTTGGATGGTCTTGAGATGGTGCGGCTGGACTGGTGCCGTCACTAAGACATTTTACAAAATAACAGCATTGTAAAAAAATGATCAGTTTGCCCAGCACAAACTTGTTCGTTTCTGGCATGTGTATTATTGAAGCGACCCGAGATGTGTATCATATCTCTCTCAGATATTATTCAGATGTCTCACAGTGTGTGCTCATCTTATTTTCATGGTATCCTAGTTCTTCAGAGAGTTATGTAGGAAAGGAGCGTGTCTCCTACCATATGGCAATGTGTTGAATACTAAACGCAAGTACTACCTACAGACAACCGGACGTAGAAGGAGAGACATCATTAAGTCAGTGTTTTTCAAAGAATGCAATACATAGTTCTAACTACCCTCGAAGCGGGTGAGGAATATGTGAAGTTCGTTATCTAGCAGGCAGTGGCTTTCCTGTTGTTGTCTTCTTTGTTTACTATGGTATCAATTCACTCATTCAAGTATGGCCTCAGGTGACAACTTCCCTCTGTCCCAATGCAGACACACCACCTTCTCTCTCTTTTCTTTCCGCCATCACTCTCTACCTCTTCCTCTCCCATCCTTTCACAGGGCATCACATTTCTTTCTTCTCCCCATCAATCCATCGCCCACTCCCTGTTTCTTCGATTGCCAGTACCAGAATTCTCTGCAGAAGTGTTGCCTGTCAAGAATATTTGCTCGGTGTTCTGGCTGTCTAATAGACTCTCGATAACAGAGCAGAGAATTTTGAGCAGAAAGGCGTTTGACGCACTCTCTGTAGCGGACTAACTGTATCTCACATCCTCCCCAATCCACCCTCTACCCGCAGCAGTTGCTTTCTTGGGATTTTTCATTGCTATCACTGCCTTTGTTTCTATACGTACCATTTTGTCACATTACCCACAGGTATTTCCTCGACGGGTGCTCAACCTGAAGGCCAGTCGACAGAGCCTTAGGGAGGCTTTGAACGGTATGAGTCTCCATCGACCTCGTTGTACCCACGCGTATCCGTCACTGATTCTGACCGCGCTGGTGAGAAGGAGCCCTCAGATACTCTTCCACAAACAGGAGTGCCTTCCAGGGCACTATCTCATCTGTTGAGGCGGTTAGTATCAGCGGCTCCGTTATATCAGGTTGGGTCTCGTTATGATGGCGGGCTACTCTGTTGAGGCAGCCATGGCTGAGGCCTTGGGTCATCTTAACCGCATCGCGTGTCATGTAAGCGTCTCTCACACCACAGATGAAATTATGGAAGCCATTACTGAGTGAATAAGTTCCGCAAGCACGAGCAGCACAGTGCCGCCAATGAGATTGGCAAATTGAGCATTATGATTGTTAATGTCTTCTCCGAAGCTGTTGAGCAGATTCCCATTAACGAGTTCGCTGATGTGGTAAGCTGCTCTATCAACATCCGGACGCAGGATTAGTCTCAGTAACAGGAGCAGGCTACAAGCTGCCAGAACACTGGGGTTAATCACAATATGATTCAGCAACAAGCTGTCGCGGCTCTCATGAACGAGGTCGAGAAGGGAAAAGACAGTATCACCTGTCAAACCAGCACCTTGCAGAACATCCCGTCTGAAGCCCAGCTCCCAACGACTGGAAGCTGGGCTCAGGTTGCTGGTTCTACCTCAAGTCATCCAGTCCATCCTCAAGGGGTGGGCCAGTTTATGACACCGTTGCCCTTGGGACCGGCCTCTCTGTCCAAGCAGAGCTCGACCAATGACGAGAATAGTAATACTCGAGTGTCAGGAATCTCAGACGTCGCGCTTTCTGCGCCCATGTTTCCAGAAATTCCAGAGGCCAAGGCAGGAGTCCTTCGTGTCTATGGCAAAACCTCCAAAGAGATCATTCAGTATCTTACTACCCGTATCCACGAGGGTCCATTGCAGGACATTCGACTTGAAACCAATGGAAGGACGCGAGTGACCTTCCAGCATGCGTCTCAGGCGCTTGCTTTCCTGAAGTCTAACCAGGAGATGGAGCAAATGCTTGGCTACGGACGTTTTGGATGCGGCTACCGCGTTGAGTTGGCTGAGATTATTGATTGGAACGACGATCATCGTCGGATGAACCAGCCCATCCGAGAGCGCCGTCGCCTGTCATTCGCGAGAAAGCGGCTCTTTGCCGACAATATGTCACCAGAGAAGTGGAAGCAGGACATCCGCACTTTAGCTGGACCAGGGAACATTGATTTCCTCTGGGTCTTCAATTCTGGTAATGGTGAGTTCGTAGCAACAAAACCGATAGGCCAAATCCCAGCTAATCAGTGGTAGCAACGGCTGTCTTCACGAGCACAACCGTTGCTCGCAAGGTTTTGGAAGTGTTTAACCGATGGAAAGACGGCCGAAACGTTTACAGTGGGGTTTCCGTGACCTACTCGTCGGATCCATGCGAGAAAGAGTTAGTTTTGGTCAAAGACACTGCTCGCCCCAACATTGCCAAGAATTTTGTGAAAAGACCCATTCGATAGATCCAGGGCTGCCGTTGAACGGATGGGCAATGCTTCGAGCCCGTTTCATCCCGACTGCTTTAAAATGACATCACATCAAGTCAAACGCATGGGGAATTTCAAAGTCTTTTTGTTTTATTTTATTTTATTTTATTTATTTATTTATTTATTTTAAAAAAAGAAAGAAATGAGAAAAAAAATAATTAAGGTAAGGAAAGCAAAGGGTAAACTGTTTGCGGGGAGTTGGAGTTTTGTGGAATGTTGCGCAGGCGATTCGAGCAACGTGGGAAAGGTACCACCCGATCTGAGCCATAGGAATGGAATGGAAGCACGAGTGGGATTGATTATACGCATGTACGGAAATGTCAGGTTGTTTGAGATGGTCTCCTGTGGACGAGTTGTTTTGGCCACTTTGTGGTCCGACTGACCCTACACGCAAGCAAAGCCAGATCTATGTTCCCTGAGACACTATCACACATGCAAAGGGCTGGTCTCCGCGCAACTCACCATAAGGATGATTTGCAAGTCGAACCTTCTGCCTTGAGTAGCGTCTGCTGTGGTTTGTCGACAGTTCAGAACATGCTGGTAGGGAAACAGTCAACCAAGGGTGGAGAGTGCCAGAGAGATATCAACAATGGCATTCGGAGGCCGCGGGCAGATACTCGAGTAACGATAGCTCATAGAAACCAAATACCAGTCTGTATTACTGATGTGATATGAGCCTTCACCGTCCTTTGGATTAGTCCCAGTGCGTCGTCATCTGAAAGATCCTCCTACTCAAACAAGTGACATGGTCTCATGTGTACACGGGACAGGTGCCCCTTGCAGCAGCGATCATGATTGCTGATATGGACCGAAAACGGTAATGATGCCAGGGGAACGCGATCAGATAAATCACAAAATTTCGTTATTTGTTTATTTATTCGGAAATTGCTGGAAAGGGAAAACCAGCATAAGAGCCGTCAAGGGCTCGACTATTTCAGAGGTTGAAGCACGGAATTAAGGGATAAAGATAGGCACCACAGATACATGCTCATGATGTCAGAGCTGATGAAGCTCGGGAAATTTTCTCCTGTTTATCGCTGTCAACATTGTTGAATGATAGAATTTTAGAACCCTGTCTGGTCCGTCATGAATGTAATTCGTAGCGTATGGATGGATGGACGGGTGGATCTACTAATGTAGGTACAGACATACGGCAGTGGCCGACTCATGCATCAGAGGCTACCCCTGTTGGGCAGGTGAGAAAAGGAGAATGTTACTGGTAGCTGGGAGCAGATATCAAACCCAATAAAGTTCAGTAGAGCAGGCTATCATTACTGTAATCAATTGGGCCAAGGTGCCAAGTTAACTTCCTGGTTATTTCCCCATTATTAGCGGACTATCTCTGGTTGGTATTGAGTAAAAAGAATCTCTCTGGCTGAGTTCTTTTTTTTCCCTATGATTTTATGTTGTATTTAGTTATTTGTTAAAAAAAAAAAAAACTCTCATTGCGCATTCGGTTCGCATACAACCTGGAGAACTTAGTTTCGTTATCTTCCGGTCCGAATGAACAACATGTTTTAAACATAATCTATTTATGTAGCTGTCAGCTGAAACCGGCGGAGTTTAGTAGACAATGGCTTCCTTTTCAGAAATGATTTTGCCTCTGATGTCACACATTCCAACGGTGTCAGTGGCAATGTTAACATGTCCGAAGAAATTTCCAAAAGAATCCTAATTATAGAATCAAGTAGACTTTTTCTTTTTGTCATTTGATTGATTCTCTCGCTGTGGGAGACAACATATTTCCTTATCTAACACAGCTGAATGACCAAGAACACCAAGAGCCCCCGAATGTGGGAGTACCGGAGATAAATAGTCGGAAGAACCGTTAGGCTTCCTTGATTAGGAGAGTGTTCCACTGTGGTAGCCAGAGTCAGTAGTGCCCCCCTATCTATCGAAAACTCTTCGGTGCACGGGTAGACAGTGGAGAGGTCAAAGACGAAAAATTGCCGCAGATTAAATTTGATTCTTGACATAGATTACTGTGGTCGCAATGTCTGACAGCCGTTAAAATTACTCACACTTATCTTCGGGACGGAGGATGAAATCGGCGTCTCCTTTCCCGGGAAGAGGAGGGGGGAATTATAGTAATCAGGTGATATCGATGCTCTGATTCGAATTGGAGTTGCCTTAAGACAAAAGATCCACGCGCCCTGCGTAGGGAAAACCGTCATTGGCCCTGAAGGGACTCCTGCGAACCAACGACGGTGATTGGAGTAAGACATGTTTAATTTATGAGCAGAAGAATCATAGTGGAAGCCCAGTGCATGGTACTAGGTACATAGTGTCCACAAACTACTTCGAGTAGTGTGGCTGTCTGGTCCGGACCTGCCAATCGGCAGCTTTTTCCTGATAAGAAGAACCCCATTGAGTTTTCTCCTATGGCGGTGGGTCCGTTCCCGAGAAGGGTTCAGTTCAGGTTCGAATTCAGGGCTTCTTTCCTTTTGGTGGTTTTTTCGTTATTTATTTATTTATTTTTTTCACTTTCCTTCTTTTGTGGTATGGTATGCACGGGACTGGACACACAAACAACCTTCGTCAATGCCCTGGGTACCGTACGTATCGCTAGTACCGTATGTAACGTTCACATCCAGGTTCCCTAACTGACGATTCCGGAGATGTCAACTTTGTTCTGTATAACATTCCGATGGCTGTTGGGAATAGTTTCTTATCTTGTGAGATCTGTCAAGATCTCGAAAACAAGGAATCACCAGAAGAGTCGGGAGTTTGATATCTTCTGGACGTCTTCTTGGGATCAATTCCTTGGACTGAAATTGGAGGCAATGACCTAATCCGGTGACCGTGCCACCCATCAATCGTGGGGAAAAGGTCCATCGTCTCGTGGTTCCTCCGTATTAATGGAAACGGCAATTACTTTACCTTGCCCAGTGTAGTACCTGCAATACTGACTAGTGACATGGATTCATTTAAAGAACTTACTTCTACCCCCGATTCAACCTCTCCAGGAAAATCCGCCCCCCTCCCCTTCCCTATCGTTTCGCCAACCCTTTCTTGTCTTCAAGGATCCTTACTTGTCGACTCGTTTGGTGTTAAATCCCCCTTCAACGAGGATCCACGGAGATCTCGTTCCTTACCAGTTTCCCTCGTTTACTGAACTCCTTTCCTCCTCTCGGCGGCGATTCTGTCCCGCGGTCCTTCATTAACTGGCGTGTCCGTTGATTGGGTCTCGATCCTATATATTGTCCAATAATTCGTTGGCCCTGCGACAGGTCTTATTTAATCGATTCCTCTCTTTCTTCGAACCCCTACAAGTTCGGTACGTTCCCTAGCCTTTTCCAATTTTTTTTCCTCTTTTTTCTCTGGGGTTCGATCTATACTATCTGGTACCGATAAGCTCCGGCGACGAGGGAGAAAAAAAGCCAAGGGAAATTGTCAACAGGACTGGTGGCTAACGCCCACACTGTAGTGCAAGCTGCAGACTCCTGTATAAAAAGTCGCACATCGCTGCATGCCCTTGTCGCTGTAACTATATTCTCGGCATTATGGTTCGCTTCGTTTCTTCTCTGCTCCTGGCCTCTTTGGCCTCCACATTCGCTTGGGCCGATACTATCAAGTGCGACGCTAATAACAAATGTCCGGAGAAATACCCTTGCTGCTCTCGTGAGTTCTCTTCCATATTCGAACATAGTGTAACGCTCGTGCTGACGTTTCTCCGTTAGAATATGGTGAATGTGGAACTGGCGCTTACTGTCTTGGCGGCTGTGATCCCATGCAGTCGTTCAGTCTTGATTCCTGCATGGCCGAGCCGGTTTGCAAAAGCAAGACCTACAAGTGGGACAACCTCGACAGTGCTGCGCTGAACACCAAATATCTTGGTAACGCGTCGGCGTCCGACTGGGTCTACAGCGGCTTCCCCAAGGTCGAGGATGGCAACCTGATCCTCACCATGCCGAAGAACAGCGTGGGCACTTTGTTCGCAAACAACCACTACGTCTGGTATGGTAAGATCAAGGGTAAGGTAAAGAGCAGCCGTGGCAAAGGTGTCGTGTCTGCTTTTATCCTGCTTTCGGACGTCAAGGATGAAATTGATTTCGAGTTCGTCGGCTACGACTTGGATAACGTCCAAACCAACTACTACTGGCAGGGCGTCCTCGACTGTAAGTGATTCGTCTGCGCTAAGGTTGGAATAGCTGACACTCACGCCTTTGCTTAGACAACAACGGCGGAAAGGCCCCCACGGGCAGCAGCACTTTCGACGAATGGCATGAGTATGAAATTGACTGGAAGCCCGAGGCCATCACCTGGTCAGTTGACGGAAACGTCAAGCGGACGCTGACTCGGGAATCCACCTGGAATGAGACTGCCAAGCGCTACCAATTCCCTCAGACCCCTTCGAGAATGCAATTGTCTCTTTGGCCCGCCGGTCAGGCAAGCAACGCCGAAGGTACCATTGAGTGGGCTGGTGGTGAGATCGACTGGGACAGCGAGGACATCAAGGACAAGGGCTACTACTATGCGGAATTCGGAGAGATCACTGTTGAATGCTATGACCCTCCGTCGAACTCGGGGGATGGCAAGAAATCGTACATCCTCACGAACAAGGACGGTCTTGAGGGCTCCTTCAAGCTCACCAACAACGACACTGTGCTCGCCTCTCTTGGTGCGACCGGTCTCAACCCAGATCTCGGCGCCAGCTCCTCTTCGTCCTCGTCTTCGAGCTCGTCCACTGGCAACAGCGTTCCTGAAAACCGCGGTGGCTCCGGTAATGAGCCTGGTGTAAGTGGCTCCAACAGCACCAGTAGTAGTGGCAGTGGCAGCGGCAGCGGCAGCAGTGATTCTGGATTCAGCCAGGGGAGCAACGACGACAGCAACAACAGCAACAACAACTCGAATGGCGCCGCCTCTGCGAACGAGCGTGTCATGAAGGGTTCCTTCTTCGCCGTCTTGGTCGCTGTCGTCGTGCTGGTTACTCTATGAACCAGTGACTATTAATTTGGGCCCTTGCCTTCATTCTTGAATATTCTTCTCTTTCTTTCTTTCTTTTTTTTTTTTCTTGGGTATATAACAACACTTACCCCCATTCCATACCCACACGGTTTTGGTGTGTCCTGTTAAATTTACCTTCTATACATGGCGGTCCCTCACTCTACATGTCTGTCGCCTTATACCAGTTAACTACTTTATTCTGATTGGACGTCTTGATGCTCTTAATGATCGCGCGTGGCGATGCCGCAAATGATGCATTGCATGCCGTTTGATACTCATTCTAATACCCTTGTTTGCGTTTTGATGCTAGTATATGTATTGTTAATTGATTGGCTCGGTGTCGGATCAATGAAGATAATTTTCTCCTGGCATTCCACTTTTATTATAATACATCTGTATGTTTCCTTTACATTGCTGTATGTGCTTTCGTTTTCCCTTCAACGACTGCACTACTTTTACAAAGCTCTTTCAACGACAATCATGGCAGAACCTTCATTCCTGACCATAACAACGAACGCAAATCTTACTTCTTGTTTTATATCCATGCTAAACATAATCCATCCAATTCCAAATAAGCCACCAAAGACACAAACACTCCATACCTACCCAAACCCCAAATACAAGATGAATCCCACTCAATCCCTCCGCATCTCCTTAACCCCCAAATATCTATATCTATCTATTCAATCTCCCACCATCCACACAAGAACCCAACAAACCAGGCGGCTTAACCCTCCAAAGAACAGAACCAAAACCCCCACCACCACCGTCAACAAAGAAATCCATTAAGAAGGAAATAAAACCAAGGAAGAATAATGTGCTACTACATCCAGATCTCCTACCTGGGCTGTCCGCACACGGAGTTCGAAATCGATCAACTGTGCTATACCGTCCTCGAGCAGCTTCAGCGGATCGATGATTCCCGGGAATCGGAGGATGAGGTGCCGTTTGAGGTCCCCGATTGTTGTCCTGATGGGGTTGATTGGGCGTTTTGGGGGAATCTAAAGGGTGAGAGGGTTAATGAGGGGCGTTGTTTTGGGTGTTTGAGGGGTTGGTAGGTGGTTTTTTTATCTTAATTTGTATTTCTTCGGGTTGTATGAGTAGTATTTCCTTTCTTGGAGTATTTATAGACGGGTGTTGGTTGGCGTTTGCTTAGGGTTAATTGTGATGCATACGATCTATTTTTGAATCCCTAGCCATTGTTGATACTTATTGGTTCTAATGAGGTTGTATATCGAATCGCAAATTATAGAGATATCATTCTCTTCACAATTTCACTAAACAATACATCTATAACCAAAGCCGAAACCAACATATATAGAACCGTAGATCAAGCCCAGAACGCCAATTCATAGATCGCTAGATGGATTGTAGTATATTAATGCAGCTCGCCGCAGCCACATTCCCTCGTGTCAAGGTCCATGGAGCGCTTCTTGAATTCTCCATGGTAGGTGTCCAAGCCCTCCGTGCGGACAGCTTCACCCAAGGGATCTCCCAACCAGCTGAGAGATGTGGAGGTGGAGGGTTCGATTTCAGGCTTCCATGTCCACGCGCTAGGAGTTTGAAGTCGTTTGGTGACGTCTTCCACGTCTACTTCGAGGTAGTCAGAGAGGAAGGCTCCAACGTCTGTGTTCTCATTGTTTCCCACCAGACGCCAGGCGTCCTTGGTGGAGGAGGCGTAGATGTTCACGTCGACGGCTAAACCATGTGTTGTTAGCTTGTACGGTTACTAATGAGAAGACAGGGGAAGGGGAACATACATGAATGTCCATGAGTGGACCACCCAATCTGGGCCCTACGGCTGATGATGTCGGCAAACACGTAGTCAACCTTATAAGGCAGCTTGGGATCAAGAAGATGGTCGATTTCCTCATCCGTCGCATCGCCAACGCCCAGGGATTTCTCTAAGAGTTCGCGAGCGAATTTTCGCTGGGACTTAGCATCCGTATTCTTGGAGAGATATTCCTTAAGCGCCGCGCCGGCAAACTCAGAGGAATGGCTGGCGTTGGCCAGAACGCCCGGCAACCATTTGTACTCTGGATAATCGTCATGCAGCTGTCGGGCCGCGGCCAGACCCCCCGTTTCGTGGTCGGAGGTACTGACCACTACTCCTGGGGTGGAATCTTGCTCCAGGAACTCGAGGACAGCTGCGAAGGCCCGGTCGTAAGCAAGGACTTCGTGGACCTGTGCTGCGGGGTCGTTTCCGTGTCCGGCGTGGTCGATGCGAGAGCCTTCGATCAAAATGAAGAAGCCCTTGTCGCTGTCCGCAGTGGCTTGGCTGAGGGTCTTGAGTGCGGTACGGGTCATTTCTTCCAGGGATGGGTACACGCCATCCTGGCTGCGACGGTCGATTTCGTAGGGGATGTCCTTCTCCGCGAAAAGACCCAGAAGCGGCAGCTTGGCTTCCGAGCCGCCGTTCAGGGCATCGAAGCCCTTTCGGTCGTCCAGGTAGTGGAAGCCCTTTTGGCCTGCGATCTCTACCAAGTCCCGATCATCGCCACGGCAACTACCTTCCGTTGAGTTGGGGAGGAAATGGCAGCGTCCACCACCGAACATCAAATCCACCACCCGGCCTAGCGGGTGCTCGCCGATCTCCTGCTCCGCGATACGATCCTCATATTGGCGAAGGTTAACATGCGAAGCAAAACAGGCAGGGGTAGCATCCGTAATCCGAGTTGTGACGACCAAACCGGTCTTATAACCAGCCAAGGCAGCAGCCTCAAGCACAGTTCCACAAGGCGAGTGGTTAGGCAGCACGGAGATAGCTCCATTGTAGCTCTTATGGGCGCATGAGAAGGCAGTAGCACCGGCCGCCGAATCGGTGACAAGGCTGTTGCTGGACCTCGTCCTGGAAGTACCAATAATGTGGTCATCCAGCACCAGTGTCTGGTCCACGGGCAGTCCCTCCGTGAATTGTCTATAGTTTCTAGTCATAGTCAAACTAGTGGGTCCCATTCCGTCGGAGACCATGAAGATCAGGTTCCGCTTGCCGGTCGGCTTGCCTCCGGGGCCCCAGGGCTCCTTCGCGTTATGGTTTTTGCTCGTCTCATGTTGGTAAACCACGGCGAGAACTATCACAGCGATCGTAGCAATGAACGCCCAAGAGAAGAGACCGACGTCTTTCCAGAAGGCCCATTTGCTGCGTTGCTGTTCGCGGTGGGTGCGCTCGCCTGTTAGTAAGGCGTCCTCCTCTTCTGCATTCCGAATCGAGGAGTGGTCGGAGGAGGGGCGCGGAGCCAAAAGGGGCTCATCTCGCGCCATGGCTGACGGACTGCCTTCAGAGATCGACTTGGGGGATTAATTGCAATGTAAAGGGATCATGGACATCGGATAGAGGGTTTTCTGAGAGTGAGGAGAAAGGGAGACGGTGAGGAGAGATCGATTCAGGTGAGTTGGGGTATTGGCTTGGCACGGGACTTTGATACGTCACGTTGCCCGGGACCTGAAACTGCCCGTATTTAGTTAGTCTATTGCATACCTAAGTCGAACTATTGGTAGATCATTACGGAAGTCGATGGGGGAATTCATGAGCGTAGAGAATATTAGTACTCCATACATGACATAGTTATAATATTACACAGTCCCAAAATTTTATACAGTGGTACAAGATCCCTCCGAAGAAGAGTATCTACCGTCCCTTCCACCCAATCGGAATCATAGCCGCCGCGATCTCAGACACTCCTCTTTCAGTCGCGAGCAGATTGAACTGCGCAGCGGCATTCCTAGTATCCAGAACCTCAACCCGAACACCCAAGGAATTGATTTGTCTCCTTGTCTCAGGGGAAAGAGGAAACACAGAAGCGCCCATCCCAATAATCAAGAGGTCTGCCCGTAGCATTCAATTAGCAAAAGCTTCTCTCAAGAAGACGCACAGAGAGAACGATAACACCTACCCGGACGAGGCCATACGAGTCCCAAAAGACCCCAAGCTTGTTCGTCAACCTCAAACTGGCCCTTCTTGTTCACCATAGCATTCTTTCCACCATCCACCGTTGTCCACGGTCTCCATGAGAAAGCCTCGCCCCCAACAAGCAACAGACCATCGCCGTTTGTGAGCTTGAGGCCATTATCCAAATGGAATCCATTGTCCAGGCAAGCATCAATAGCGGTAGTAGGCGCTGGGATGTTGCCGAGTACGTTCAGCGCAGCAAAGTCCGTTTGCGTGTCCTCTGTTGACTGCGGGCCCCGATCGTGGCTCGCTGGCTTCGCGGTGTGCGCGCGAGGAACCATCCGTACGGGGCGGGCATTGTTACTGTTGTTGCGGTATGTTTGTACATAGGGGGTGATTCTAGAGATGGGAGATACTGAGCGGACGTTTGTGCATAGTCGACTGGTGACATTGGGGGCCCAGATGGATGTGCGCAAAGCACGGAGTAATTGGGGTGATGGAGGGTGCATTGTGATGATGTGGATATGGTTGATGTCTGGGAATTGATTGGTATTGGCCAGTCGAGTCAGGACGTAGTTGTAGGGATCTGATCAAGGGATCAAGAGCGAAATAATGCGAGTGGAGATGGAGATTTAATCTGGAGTTGCGATGATCGATAGCCCGTGATGTAAACGCTTCCTTGGAGCCTTAGGCAACAAATGCTGAGTAAGACCTAACGGTATCGACCATCATTGGTCCATTCAAGTCAAGTATGTACACCATCGTCTAGTCTAGGTATACTTCAACATTGCACCTTGGAAGTAAGCCCTCGTTGAGCTAAGCCTGGCGAGATCCATGTGGAGATATCAACATCTATATCTACAACAGATCTTTATCACCAAATAGCCGCAGAAGTATTCACAAATATTGACACCCAAAAACCACCATTATGCTGCTATAGACACTTTTTTACCTGTTCCTTAAGTCTTTTTTTTTGATGCTGCCGCAGAAGTTCCTCCTCTTGTTTGAACGTCCAGTCATATATCTGGTCATCTTTGAACCCTTCACGCTGAAACAGACCCCGGAAATTGTCACGCAAATAGGCGTAGTCAGGAGTCGCCTTCAAAAAGATATGCAGGAAGTATAAATTGAACGCTGGCGGCAGGTCTTTGCAAAGCTTTTCGACACGTATATTGCGCTTCATCTCAGCCACGGCTATCTGTCTCTCCCAGTCTGTGCCAGTTGGTGTCCAGAGCCTCTCCCACGGAAGGTGGCCTTTGAGTAATCGGACGAACACGTATCCTAGGCTTTCCATGTCATCGCGGGGTGATTGCTCTAGATTTGATTATAACCCTTTTTTCAATACAACAGAAGCGAAAAAGAGAAAAAGAGAGAAACGTACGCTTCGCATAATGCGCCCGCCAAGCAGCATATACCTCTGTCCCCTGCAAACCAATGCCAACCTCAGGATTTCTCTCGCATTCACGCCTATCATGACGCTCCCGCTTCAAAATCTGATGGTCACTCATTGTACTATACCTCTTGACTAAACCCAAATCAGCCACATACACCATATTCGCTTTCTTCCCAACTCCTATCAGCAGGTTCTCTGGCTTAATATCTCGATGGACGCAGTTTCTCGAGTGAAGCTCCTGAAACCGACATATCAACTGATCTGCCAGCAAGAGCACCGTCTTTAGGGAAAATCTGCGCCCACAGTCCCGCCACAGATGGGCCAGGCTGGGCCCCAGGAGTTTAATGGCCGTGGCATGGTATCGTTGATCGTGTCCTGCCCAGTAAAACTTCGGGACTCCCACGAGTCCGGCCAGATAGCGGTACCCACTGACCTCGCGATGGTACGATCTGTAGCCCGCCGGCTCATGGTAGAGCTTTATGGCTAGCTCTTTGCCGGTTTTGTGGTCTCTGGCTTGGAGAGCTGTCAGGTCTGTAGGCCTCGTTGTTATTGTTGCTAAACTGGGCTGTACCTATGTATACACTGCCTTCGCCGCCGCCAGCTATAGGGCGGATTAGCTCGAACCTGTTATTGATGAACTTTTTCTGCGGTGGAGTCTCTATCAGGAGGAGCTCTTAGATGTGGAAAGGCTAACATACCACTGGTAGCGGTCCCATAGTGAAAGGTCGATAGGTTCTTGCATAATTTGGTGTAGGTGAGAGATAGGGGTGGCTACATACTTTATCATACCTGGCAATTACTCGGGACTATGTCTCTTTGTTGAAGAAGAATAGGTTTGTTATCCTGGAACGGACCTGTTCCCTCTTTATAGTGTGGTGCTTCAAAGCCCTCTGTGATACCGGCTCAAAGAGCAATATTCTGTCTTCTATTACTATAGTCCTACAGAACAGGATTGCACGCATAGAACAAGAAATCGGTAGATGCCGAAGCAAACAAGTTCACATCGATTGCAACCGGAAGGTATCGATGAAGAAACTCTCAGGACCAGCCTGATCAATCGATAAGGATGCATGATCCGTTCAGCGTGCGGTCTTCTGCTGCAACTCACTGCAAGCCAGCAGCTTCATATCATAAACGCAGTGCATAACTCCCGGCGCATAAGTCTTCACTTGTTCGACATGGCGACATTCCGCCGGTGCAGCAACATCCCGCATCCCAAGAGCTTCAGCCCGCAACCTCCCAAACTCCACCGTGATAAGCCCCTTCTTCTGCTCGATCTCGCGCACGTCCACATTCTCATGCACATGGACCCAACCCCCCAACTCCGCATCAACCATCCTGCACGCATTCCCCCAAGCATCAACAGACGTCGGAAGAAGCCCTAAGTTGACATGACGAATGCAATTCCATTCCCCCCTCCCCTCCATAACATCACGAATCTCCCTCAAAATGTCCGCCGCAAACCGATTATCTCCATGAAAGAGAACGACCCGATCAGTATCCTTCAAACTGCCCACCAAGTCCCGCATACTCTCACTCAACCCTCCATCCTCCTGGACCCTAACAACCCTACACCCCCAGCCATTCTCCTCACACCCGCGTCGAAGCCCCTCAACCGACCAGCCATTAATCTCCCACCCCCAAACTCGCCTCACCCCCCGTTTCAGATACGAAAACACAAAATACCCGATCCCAGCATACATATCCACAACACCCACATCCGAAACGGCCTGCCCATCCAACTGGGCCACCTCCAACCCCTCGAACGGGGCCCCGTGGCCCAAAACCCGCGCTTTCTCCGTAACGTTCCCGCGGGAGAACATCGTATAGAGCGGGGCCCAGATCTGCACAATCCCATGGTTCTGTATCGTGCGCACCCAGAACGCCCGTTCCAGGTCCTCATCGCTCGGCTGGCCCTCTTCGCCAGCGGGAGAAATAGTACTAGTAGCACCAGTAGTAGCAGGAGGCCCAAAGTCGCCGTACAGTGGGACGAGGCCAGCGGGACTGCGCATGCGGTTCTCGTGGCCTTGCGTGTCTGTGGGCGCGATGGGCGCGTTGATGGCGATATGCGTTACGCCCATGCGACTGAAGGCCTTTACGAGTGAGGCGTAGAGGGCCTGTTGCTGTGGAGCGGTTAGGGATTGGTACAGGGCGCTCCAAGCTGGGGGGCTGCTGAAGGCGTTCACGGGGAGGAGGAGCATGGGCTCGTAGACCGTGAAGCGTTTTGGGAGATTGGATTGTAGCGTCTCTGGTGAGAGGCCATATTGGGACAGTGTTTCTGGGGCGATATTGTTTCTCACAAAGTCTTGGATGCCAATCTGGAGCGGGTTGAGAGTCTTGGGGGATGGCCTCTTGCCGCCTTTTTCATGGCGAGTGGGCTTCTTGATGGTGGGGGGTTGTGATGGGGGTGTTGTTTCTTGGTCCATTGTTGATCTTGGTGTTGGGTTGGGGATTTGCTGAGTGTTGTAAAAGTATAGCAATGGGTGTATTTCTTGTTTTTTATACGCAATTACTTTGCGGTTGCATGTTATGTCTGGGTATATATATCGTTGGTGTTCAATGGAGGTGTGCTCTGGTAGCAGACACACAATTTCCCCACAGATAGGCTGATAGCTCTGCAGAATTGCGAGCCCAGAGACTCTGTCTTCTTGTCTCTATTGTATAGTTGAGTTCGGGGTATTTTGTTAATTATTACAGGTATCGCCAATTTTTTGATGATATTTTCCACTTTCCACTACCTGTGTCATGTGACTTGCATCTACAAGACGGTATGCAGGAAGAGAAGAAAAATAGTTACGTAGGCCTCCTTAAATATCTTGATTACTTGGTGGACTTGCGCCCTCGTATCCGGCGAAGAAGTGCTGATATCATAGATTCTTAATACATCTTTGCATCAAAGGAAAACCGCTATGCATTCTGAAATGCGCACATAGTACAACTTGCGAAGTCCTTGTAGAACTTACACAAGGCCCATCCTCTACCGAAACAGAACAATGTTAATGTATGAATCTTCGTCTTCATATTAGGATATATTGAGAATGTGGGGTGAATGGAGTGTGGCACCAAAGATAGTCCATGAGATGGCTGGGAATAACAGAAAGCAAGTGGAAACAGCCAACGCTAGAAATACATTGGATGCTTCAGAATGGGAAAGATGAGACGATGTGTAACTAGATGGATGATTTATTAAAGAAAGTAGATAAAAGTCAAACCCGCTGTTGTCAACAATGGTTACAAGGCACAACGCGAGAAGGATGAGAAGGAATCGTAACGAAGGTAAGCTCTTAGTGAGTAATACGGGGAAAGAGGGTCAATAATCCGTCACGGAGTATCCTAACCTATCATTTGCGTCCAGTACGCTGGCAGTCAAATTAGCACTGTTAATGGGGCTGAGCAGCAAGGAGGACGTACGAGTATTGTTTGGTTAGGGTTCCTTCTCCACCTTTCGAAAGATCAATGCTAAAAACGTAGAAGTTGCCATCGCTGGTCACCACCATCACTTGGGGCGTGTTGTTGCTCATTGCTACAACGCTTCGCAAGGGACCGGTGTTGCCATTACCCCCGGGGCCGGGATTCGACTTCGGAAGTTTAATCCAGGCAAAGTCTCGCGCAGGTTCCCACATCTCACTAACACCCTTTGGAAGGTAACCGCCCACCTTGGCGGCAAACGAGCTTCCAACAGTTTGTGAGGTTCGCCGAATCATGCCCATCAGAGTGCCATTATGTTTCCTGGAAGGGAATTCGGAGGAGTCTTTGTCACCACCGGTTTCATCCTCATCTGGAGAGTTACTCAGAGAGCTCTGACTCATGGTTCTTTGGGGAGCCGAAGGCGACGGTAAAGAATTTTCCGAGGATTGGCCCTGACTCAACTTGAACAGGTGTATGGTTTCGGTGGAGGATGAGACGCAAAGGAGAGTAGAGGTCGTGTTGAACGACATGCTGTAGATCCTGGAAGGTATCGAGCCTCGCCTGAATTGATATAACTTGTGACCGTCAGGCACGGAGAAGACCCGAATAATAGTCCCTTTATCAGAAGCGGTAGCTATCAGAGTGCCATCACTGTTGAGCGTTATGCATGCTAGTGGAGATCGATGGGCTTCTATGACATTAATTGCTTCTAGCTTTAGTGTATCGAATATCAGTACTTCGCCGCTTGTAGGTGAAATATGTGTGTTCCCGGGAGGCGCATGGGACGGAGGAGTAAAGGACGTAGGCGGAGCCTTATGTGGAAGAGGGTATGCGAGATAGCAATTATCAGAGGAGGGAGACAGAGCACAGATTGCTGTGAGATGTTAGAACCAGGGCTAAATCAAAGATACTAAAGCATATGAACCCCTACCACTAGGATTTGGAGATGTCTCGATAGTATATAGAAGCTTCATGGTCTGGATATCATAGAGATAGATCTGGTCTTCTAAAACGATGACGAGCCGTTTCCGGTTCAGTTTAACCGCCAGGACAGTGGTGGGAAACGTCAACTCGCATATTGTGGATTGGCGCTATAAGGACGGAAAATGTTAGAATAGATTCTTAAGGTCATTAGAGACACAGGTAGTGAAACTCAGTAGAGGCTGGGTGGTTCGAATGGCTTGATTCTTCATACGGGAGGCGATACGGCCCTGGATTTGCATGCGCAAGGGTTCTACGAACCTTTGTATTAGTGATTTGCAAGCGACGTGGTGAGAGAATCAACGCGACCAAAGATGTTGAAAATAGCATCTCGATTATAGCAATGTTCCCTTCCTTGGTCTCATAGCTCTTGGCGAAAGGGTCTGTTGTGAATATGCGAAACCCCTTGGCAGTCGCTGCAAGCCGTTAAGAAACATCCTGGGAAAGAACGAAACGACTCAAGGGAAGTGCTTACCCACAGCCAAGTAGCTGTAGTCCTGGTTGAAGGTCACGAAGTTCATTGCCATCTTGTCTGGAGGCGATCGAGTGGAGCGATGACGTCCAATCCAGTCCTCTTCTCTAAAGTGTACTGTAGGGTTGGAAAAGCGACAAAACAGTATATATATCTTCCGGAGATTAAATAGATAGAGCGGCAAGACCGCGCTTCCTTTATTGAATCAATAAAACTTATTGTTCTTTGAGCGGAGGGGCACAACCGATCCCATCACAGGGCAGCTTCACGTCACTGACGATCGTCGCCGGACATCTCTCGTTCTCAAACGGCGTTCGCAACAAATCTCCACGGTGAGTTATTCCATACAAGGCAAGTATGCACGGATGCGATCGCCGCTGGGCGAAGAAGACGTTGGAAAACAAACAGGTAAGTGGAGTCCGGGGGATCGCTGAACAACAGTTCGTTCTGCCGCGGTCTGAATGCGTCAGGCGTCAGGCGCGGCAAGCGAGCCATTCATCGGACGCTCGGGCCACATCTTGTTCTTCGGCGGGTAAAAAATATTGAAAGGCGGGCACTATTTAACCCACAGAACAAATCCATGCAACTTCCCTCTCCACAGTCCAGAGAAGGTCATTGCACCATGGGACCTACAAAGAAGCCAGCCATGGCTGGAGTTAACTCTAAGGCTGAGAGGGAAGCCGACTTGGTTATGGGGGTGAGTTTATATGAATTGCTGCGGCGCTGCGCACATCCCCACCAGTTGTTCGTTTAGTCTATCTGCGCCTAACTATACTAGACAAATAACAGCAGTATTGTCTCCAAACGGAGTGTCGAAATGCTCTACTACCCCAAGCCTCATTTCTTTCGCTACTTCGTCAAGAAACCCCAAAGACGATCGCCTTTGATCAACCGCGAATATTGGCTGCGCATGCACGCGGTGGCGGAAACAGTGCGCAAGTTTATGAGAGAACCATCAGACAAACCTAAATTTGTCTTGAATCTGGGATGTGGATTGTGAGTCGTAGAAAAGTCCCCGGGAAGTCGGGCGATCAAAAAGGGGACCGTATACTAAGTTAGATTGTCGTAGTGATTCCCTCCCATACATGCTTCTCAGTGTCGATAACGACCTGTGTAGAGACACGACCTTTGTGGATATCGACTACGCAAAGCTCATGGTCAATAAGAAGACGGCCATTCGCCAAACCAACGAGATAACACAACTACTTGAGGATGTAGAATTCCTACCTGACGAAAGTGCCCTGCAGATTCGCAGCAAGCACTATGTAGCCATCGGGTGCGACCTGAAGAACCTCACCAAGTTGGACGACGTGCTTAGAGCAGAAGTCCTGCCTTCTGAATGTGCAGTTCTTTTCCTGGCCGAAGTCTCTCTGACGTACATGGACGTCAAATCCGCCAATGCGGTTGTCAGCTGGGCTTCAAGGCTAAACAATGGTCAGAATAACCCATGTGCATGCTTGCCTGAACATACCGACGAATAAATGCTAACTTGTTAAGTGAAGATGCTCAGTTCTGTATACTGGAACAATTCTGCCCTGATGGCCCCGACCATCCTTTCACTTCGACAATGATGAAACATTATAAAAAGCTCGGAGCACCTCTATACTCGATCCACGAATATCCCTCCCTGAACGAACAGGAACAGCGCTTCAAAGACGCTGGCTGGAAACACGCACATGCTCGAAGCCTCTGGGACCTTTGGTCGGACGATGAATTCGTGGACAGCTCGTTGAGAGCGTCACTTGATGCCATTGAACCTTTTGACGAGTGGGAAGAGTTTGCGCTTTTTGAGTCTCATTATTTCCTTCTGCACGCGTCCACTAGGCCTCAGGTCTCGGATAATGCCACAGAAACAGTAACCAGGCTTGATCCGCAGACGGATAAATCTGGTCATTTCAGATTACTCGCCAAATGCCCCCCTGGAAGCGGTCAAAGACGGTTCGGAGCTGTTCTTCCCGATAGTGATAAGGCTGTGGGACATCACTCTGGACTCGGTCGTCAGACTCGTTCATCATCCACGGAACTGTACACCAGGGCGGAGGATATCACCAAAACTCATGAGTTCCCTCCCGGAGACATCCCTGCACGGATGTGCCATACAGTGACTGGTTTAAGCAACCAAGATTGCCTTTTAGTTGGCGGCAGAGCTTCACCAGCGTCCGGGTTCAAGGATTGTTGGGTCAGGCAAGGGAACCAGTGGCGCTCGACTCAGAGCCTTCCGATCCCCCGATTCAGACATAATGCCGTCAAAGTTACTCTTGATTCTGAATATGTTCTCATATATGGAGGTAAGACTAGCGATGGCACAACATTAAACACTTGGTTGGCGTGGAGCAGCAAGCAACAAGGCTGGCAACAAGTTGAGACCAACGAAACCAATACCAAGGCTCGATTTGGGGCTTGTTTGGGGAACATCGACGACACTTCAGGCGTACTCTTTGGAGGAATTGGGGCCGAGGGAAATATTTTGGGGGATTTCTTCACCTGGAAGTTGCACCAGCGGAGCGACGGGTCTTTATTCATGGAGCTGACCGACCACACCGAGGACTTGCAGAGAACCTCATCCTTATTCAATCAAATCCATCGATTTGGAGCGACTGTCAATCAAACAGCGTGGGGACTAGTCATTGTTGGTGGTATTGTTCCTCGAGAAATCATTACACATGACAAGGAAATTATGCTTCTTGATCCGACAGAGTTAACTAGATGCATTGCCAATGGGTGGCCCTCAAACCACACCGTCATCTCGGCGCTAGGGCTCGGAAAAAGACTTGACGGCCCGAGGCCCTTACTGGTAGGCCATGTTTCCTGTGCCATTGATCCTAAAGAGGTGTTGATATTGGGCGGTGGAGCTGTTTGTTTCCCATTTGGAACATACTGGAACGAGGGCACATGGCTTCTGCAGGACGTGAATTCGACTTCTGAGAATGGCTGGACCTTGGTTCCAGAGCCAGTGAAACCAGACAAGTCGCTGTCAGAAAAAGCGACACCCAAGCCACTAGCGCAACCTCAGAACGAACCCTACAGTGCGGCGGAAGTGATTACACCAATCCCTCGCGTATGTGTCCAGAATTCCGCACAGTTTCAAGAAATTTTAGCTGAGGGCAGGCCGGTTATCATCGAAGGATCGGATATTGGCCCCTGCACAGAGCTCTGGACCAAAGAATATTTGATACGTGCCGTTGGTGGTGACCACAAGGTAGGCCGGATAATCTAAATAGTGCTCTGTTGATTTCGAAGACTAAACAAACATGAAACCAGATCATTGTGCACGAGGCACAGTCGGAACATATGAGTTTCCAGACCAAGAATTTCTCATATACAACCAAAACATTCGGCACTTTCATGGACGAGGTGTATGCAGGCGATCGTCAGTATCTTCGAAGCATCTCTGCTGAACAGCCGACTAAACTACCTGCCAACCTGGCTGCGGATTTTCCAAGTCTAAGCCATGATTTTTACCTGCCAGAGTCGCTCTCCGTAGTAACTGATAACACTCACAGCTCGCCACTCAGGATATCAGGACCGGTCACTTTATGGCTTCATTACGACGTAAGTGTGAAGTGAGTTACATGACGTGGATGAACAGGAGCACTGATCCTTATCTCCGCACAGGTGATGGCGAATGTCTTGTGTCAAATCCGTGGCGAGAAGAAACTCATTCTCTTCCCACCGAGTGATGTCCAATACCTTCACGTGCCTCCTGGGGCCTCAAGCTCTACCATCAGTATATTCCAAAGCAACGGATCGGTCGCCTCAATTCCCCATACGTCGCCACAAGAAGCAGTCTTGAAGCGTGGCGATATCCTATTCATCCCTCCATTGTGGCTGCACACGGCATCTCCCACGGGTGATGTCAGTGTTGCTGTCAATGTCTTCTTTCGTAATTTGTCCAAAGGGTATGCAGCTGGTCGGGATGTTTACGGGAACCGTGACCTACAAGCCTACGAGAAGGCGAGAAATGATATCCAGAAGATGGCCAAGTCCTTCGATGGGCTTCCAAGTGATATGGCCCGCTTCTATCTGCTGAGGCTCGCCCAAGAATTAAAAGACAAGGCAGAAAAATAAGTCACTTACCGTGTCAATCAGACACTGACAAGAAGTTGGATAAGATTTGAGATTTTGCCCTTAATGCCCAATCGCCCAGTAAACAAGGACTCATATATGTGCTACGCCAAGTAGCGTGGACCTCTGTTTTTGAATGCCCGGGCTCCACAGTTCGGGGCTAATGCATTACTTCAACAATCAAGGAAGGCCGAGAAAGCTGGTCTCTACCCAGTTGAACCAGCTCATGCGACGACCACTCTGGCAATGCGAGAAGGTCGCTGCGAACCTCATGTAAAGTGACCTCGATTTTCTACCCAGTAGTTCCAAGAGTATTACGTCTGGAGAAATGTAGGGAAGCGACTGAGGGTGCGGGTTCAATCATAGAAAAGGTACTAAGTTTGATAGACCGATTTGTGCATGTGTACGAAACACGTCTGGACAGTTGTTGTCTGTGAGTCATGCCAATGCTTTGGGAGTAGGAAACGCGCATTGTATTAGTGCCATGTCACAAACATGCATTACCCTTCTTCATATAGGATGAGAAACCTGAGGCTGCATGCCGACCCTAACGAACGCCTGCTATTGTATTATTTACCTATCGGGTGATGGTATGCGGCGCTGTTCCTAACCAGTGGGAAGGTGGAAGCTGCCGATAGCAGAGTTTCGGGCACGTTGCGCAACGTCAGCATTTATTTGCTCGTTGAAAGGGAAATGGTCGCGTGCCCAATCAGAGAGTTACGACCCGTTAGTGTTATAATCCTTGGGCTTTTTGGCGATGAACCAGTGACACATTTCCTTGTCCCGTGCTGCAGGTGAGAAAGACGCAGGTCCCACGCCGAGGTTCAAAACCGTCCGCCTTATTGTTTGGAGGCAAAGGTATTAGAATTAAGATGAATGGATACCTTTAAAAAGTCAAAAACCAGATTGATAAACTATTCTGCCACCAATCGGTACCTTTGATCCACCCCAAATCGGTAATAGTAGTGTGGGATAGAAACGGGGATTATCAGATCTCAGCGTCATTCAAAGCATTTCCGACTCATGTGTTACTCGTTGAATAATCCGAGAGGGTGGGAAAGACGCATGACACAGCAGCACCATGGATCCATGCTTGATAGACATGGGTAGGAAATGGGAGGGAGACCATGCGGATGTCCAAAGCCAATAATCAAGACCAAGATCGAACCACTTCGTTTTAGTGGCTCTGGGGAGGTCCGAGGAACGATCCCATTCGCTGGGATGGACAATCTTGCTCCTTTCCTTGTGTCGCCTTCAGATGGTCCAGAGCGTTGAAAGGGCCCGTCCTCCTAGTCTTATTGGACCTTACCCTTGAAGTGTTGGCGTCAAGACTTCGGGAGGTTCTCTTCGAGGTGGTGTGGGGGGATGAAAAAGACTGATTATTATTATTATTATTATTATTGATTATTATTAAGGAGAATGGATTGTACGCCGTGCCGGATGTAATAATCAGCCTGTGCGGGCACCCTTTCTTTTTTAGTTCGTGCCTTAGGGAGGAGGCCTGATATAGATTTGCAGATTGAAATGGAACTGAACGGATCATGGATGGAAGGGTCATTGGCTGCAAACGGTAATACGGTTGTTATATGAATCCGATGTGGGGAATAGATGCCCGAAAAACAAGGAAGGCGACAACATTCATGATGAGGTAAACTACGTTCATTTTTAACGAAAAAAAACTCTTAGGAGAGATTTTAAATGATAGATGGGTGTTTTTTTTCCTTCTTTTTCTATGATTGACAAAATAGTGAAAGAGAGAGGAATCATTCATCTACTTGAGGGGGGTAAATCCCGAGAAATAATCAAGAAAAAAGAAAAAAAAAAAAAAAAAAAAAAAAAAAAAAAAAAAAAAAAAAAAAAAAAAAAAATAAAAGATAGAGAGAAAAGATACCAAACAAACACACCCCATGCTCAGGCTCTCAAGAAACGGGGCCCTAGTGTGGAAAGAGTTAGCCGTGAGTTACTAGGCTTTACCCCTCCCCACACCCCGTACTTAGTTTCTGCTTGGTGCTTGCTCCTGTGCGACAAAGGTGAAAATAATCCCAATCCGCCCGTCGACTATACTTAACCCGGGCTTTCATTTCCTATCCTTCTCTCTTCTTTCTTCTCCTCATCCATCTTTTTTTCTATATTCGCTTTGCTCTTCTTCAATTCTTTTCTCCCGTGGTGTTTGTTATTAGAACCTATTGCAGACATTCTTCGGTACATATCATAGTTCCCTTATCGCTTGTGGAGCAATCCCTTATTACTGTGGGTATTATCCGGTCTCCTACGTAATATCCTCCCCTCCTTGTTGGGTGCGAACCAATACAACTGTCGATCCGATCACTTCAAGTCATGCTGCTCAATTCCCGTCATCCACTGACTTTCTTTTTACGCTCTTTCTTCAGGCCTGCGGAATCTTTTTGAAGCGTGCGATGTATGTTAGATTCCATTTCCGACTGTTGAGCCTCATAAAACACAAGATACTAAGCAAAACAACCTCACAGACAGTTCTCACGCATGTGGATACAATTGCACCTCGACCGATTTTGTAAAGGATGTGTCGTTGATCGATCGTCGCTCGGACTATCTGTATACACTCAACCTTAGCACTGGGCTTATATACGTGTTTCCCTGCACTCGACATACATTTGACACGAACCTTGTTCAAGCATCATGGCAACAGTCGTGGTACAGCAACAGCAACAGACACTGCGGCACGCAACCCCCCCACCCACGGGGATTTCGCCAGCACTGAGTCTGAACAGAAACCCTTCGCCGATTCCAAACAAACATCTGCCTATCTGTCCTGCGGGTCCTACCCCAGTCATATCTCAAAATGCATCCCTGTTTCACAAGGAGGAAGTTACAGACCAGACATCTTCCCTTCTATATCCACCAGATAAGTATAAACAGCTGTCGAGCTCGCCTGCGGTGTATTCGATAGATGCAGTTGGTTTAGAATCAGCCCTGGACCATTGGGCTTCCCAGCCGCTCCCAGACCCTAGCAAAGTCTTCCCCTGGCTACACGGACTCCATCCCGAAAACCATTTACAGTTGGGGTTTTTCACAAACCGGAAACGCTCTCTTCGTCGGATCCCCAGAGTTTGGCGAGGCATTACTATTATCAAAGTTGGCGGGGATCTAATTAGCGGGAGGCTGAAAGGAGCGATATCTCTCGATGAGGTCATTGCCCCATCAAGTACAGAATTCCTTGCGGTTGATCCTCGGGAAGGGTTCTCTGTGCGCAACTTTCAGATTCAGACTGCGAAATTAGCTCCGCTGTCCGACATTGTCATCTATGGAGAGGATGGCGTTACCCGAAAACAGCTACTAGACGTGGCAGGAAGAGTCGCAGCTGCACAACATCGTTGGAGAGCCAAGAATGATCCGGAACAGGTTTTACCGGTCTACAATACATTTATCCTCTCATGTAAGTGAAGACTTGTCGTTCACATACATTTGAGTCGGGCGGGAGCTAATCGTCAACAGCTACTTTTTCCGAAGTCGAACAACGTGCCCCGAGCATCGTTGCCATTAACGCCCGCGGACAACTCACTGGCCAAACTATGGATTTCTGTACGTATTTAACCCACCTTTTGACAGACCCAAGCCTAATAGAGGATCAGTTCAATGGGAACGTTGGGAAATGTGTGACATGTCCCGGGCTTCTGAGATTTCAACCAATGTTTGGCAAGGGCCAACTCCGGATTATTTATTACGTCCTGGGACTTGCGAGTCTACAACTGGGGAGTATTTTGATCTTTTAATCGAGGCCAGCGACTTTGCGAGCCTCCCAGGTCCTCGATTCCTGGCGAAACTGAATAAGCAGCTTGATGATGGCCCCCAGCGGCTGGAGTTCCCTTCGTCTGGGTCTATTCTTCCGCCATCAGGTGATGATAGGGAGGTGGATGATCTCGTGAATACCGTGCGGTGGCTCTATTACTTAGCAAACCCAGACGAACCAGAAAACCGGCCGGATGCCGACGGGGACATTGCCATGGATCATATTGCCAAGAAGCCTCGCAAGATACTTATCCACTGCCCAGATGGTTATACAGAAAGTTCACTGCTGGTCATTGCCTACGTGATGTTTGCCGAGGGCGTGACAGCGCCCGACGCGTGGCTTAAACTTCACTGCGACCAAAAGCGGAACTTCTTTGCCTACCCGTCTGATGTCACGTTTCTAAGCGCAGTACAGGCGAGGTTATTGCACGAAAGCCCTGCGACACCAGTAGGCAGCCTCACCGGGATCGCTGATCCTCACTGGTTCAAGTATTTCGATGGTTCGCTCCCCAGTCGGATTCTGCCATATATGTATCTTGGCAATCTATCACACGCAAATAACCCAGAGATGCTGTGGGCTCTTGGCATCAGGCGTATCCTGAGTGTTGGCGAGTCGGTTACCTGGACCAATTCCGACGTAGCCAAGTTCGGCGCAGAAAATATTATGCACGTTACCCAGGTTCAAGACAATGGCATAGACCCATTAACTCAGGAACTTGAGCGTTGCTTGGATTTCATTCGTGAGTACCAGTTATCTGTCCCATGAGGCTATCGCCCACAATAGAACATTAACTAACATGATGGCACTGTAGGCAAAGGCAAAAAGGATGGAATGGCTACGTTAGTCCATTGTCGAGTAGGGGTTTCGCGATCAGCGACCATCTGCATAGCCGAAGTTATGGCATCATTAGGCCTTTCGTTCCCAAGAGCATAGTAAGTAATTCTTCAAGACGCATTGGAAGACTTAGTTGACAGGAGTAGTTGTTTTGTTCGCGCACGACGGCTTAATGTTATCATCCAGCCACATCTGCGTTTTGTGTAAGGCCCTCCTCAAGTTCCCAATTCGTGCAGCTTACCTTCTTGCCCATCACCTTTCCAATGCGTCAGCTAACGAAATTACTTAGCTATGAACTCCTGAAATGGGAAGAACTGCAACTGCAGAGGCAGAACAAGGCTCCAAAGAGAGCACTTGAATGGCCCACAGTGGCTCGTGAAATTGCGCTGATGAACAAACCATACTCGAGATAGGCAAACCTAAAGCGAAATCTTGTTCTTCGAGTGCGAACGATAATTTTCGTCTCATAGCATTACGGTACATTTAGCCGTGATGCAGTGTTTTAACACCACTTGTCATGATACAGAAGTAATCTGGTTTTTGATAACGATTGATATGTGTGGCATGAAAGATAAACGAAGGAAACGGCTGGACGAATTATGGAATATCTGGGTTAATTTTCTTTTTGGGCGTTTAAAGGATGCGATCTACTCGAATGATGATGTTACGTCTTGCAATGCATGCTACGATGCTTGTCATGTATATAATCATGCCTTCCTGGTCGGCGTTTGCCGTATAATAATATCCTTCGGCTGAATTGGCTATGTGTATACTGTGCTTACCCGAGGCAGGTGACTATCCAGATCACCCTTGATATCATTTCATTGCGTTACGATCCATCTTCGACCAGCCGTTCTCACTTCGGAGTTTCCTTGGCGTCTTTAATGGAACGATATACTGCCATTTCCTCTTTATTTCATTTTTTTTTTCTCTAAAAGCGTTGGGAGTATGACCTGCTTAGCTAAATGTGGACATACAATTTGGTATAGTATGAGGGCATCTGACGAGGATAGTTTTCGCCCATGTACTTGCGAGTCTTCTTGCACAATCAAATACTCTACGTGGTTATGCTATGGATGTGATCACAGACTAAATAGATAGTAGTAGATGAGGGCTCATAAGTCTTCACGAAATCAACACCGTTCAAAGACGCGATATAGACCCTTCAAATCAGCTACCTCAACAACTCCACGAAGGAGTCGGTTCGTGGCAACTAGGCGAGACCGAAGCGCCGGGAAGACCACATATTCCAGCATCCGAGCTATCTGTAACCGACGATTCCTAATGAGTTCATCTTCCGTATCCACATCCGGGGATTCCTTATTTTCGTCATTTTTTGCTGGTGACGGAGGGGGCGGCAATTGCTCTGGCGTATAGAACGCCGCAAGCTCCCGCAGGAATGTGCGGAAGCAGTCTTCCTCACTTGTCCAGTCGACATAGGGACCAAGCCGAAGGAGGAACCGGGGTAGTTTTCCCAGACACGGGAGATAGCCTTTGAGTAAGAGCGGGAGGGAGAGGAGTTCACCTGCTGCAGAGATTTCGAGCGAGAAATACTCATTGAGCATCTCGCGCCTGTCTATGAGCGATCTGGCGACTAGGTCTGGTGCGTTGTCGAAGATGTCATTTTTCTCGTTTTCTTCGCTTGAATTTGCTTTTCGGCTGCTGGAGGCTTCTCGTTCGGCATCAGCTGCAATCTGGAGGAGATCGATGAGCTTAGGTGCTGGGTCTAGTCTTATGACGCCGAAGTTGCCGAAGTCTGTCAGTCCAATCTGGTAGAAGAATTCGTTGCAGAACATCCCGTAGTCGACGAGGTAGAGTTTCACTCCTGACTGGATAGCTGTTATGCGTCGTCGCTCATCGACGATGCCTACGTACGTGTGGGAAGCGATTGTTTCCGTCAGGGTGTTGTGCATTGCGTTGCGGACGCTTGCACGTAGGTTCTTCACGGACGTGAGGGCGATGCGAAGTGGCTCACGATCAGTAGTTTCGTATTGCAGTCCTTGGTCTAGAACGCTAGAGGCTGGTTCCGCTTCTGTAGTATTGAGAACTGCGGGCGGCAGCATGGAGGTGATCTTGCGCACTTTGGAGTCTGTGCGGACCAGATTATGTTCGTATGGCTTCTTCGTTGTTGCTGGCGTTTTAGGAGTACGGTCTTCAGCGTCTGTTGACTCGGAGTCGTGAGGCGCCGGTTCCATCGTTCTAACACCAGGAAGAAGAGTCTGCGTCAAGAACGTTCGGCTTGAGTCAACCTGGGTAAGTTTTGACTTGATTTCCTGGCATATACACTCGATGATCTCATCTTCATTTAAGAAATTGACTTCGCGCTTTGTTGGATGGACATTCACGTCCACGCGGTGCGGTTCAATTTCCAGGTCGATATAGGCAAATGGGTGTCCGCCTTTGGGCAAGAAACTAGAGTAGGTTTGCTCGATTGCTCGTTTTACTGCCGTGGACTCCACAGAGCGGTGGTTGATGAATAGAAGGATAACGGTGCGTTTGACATGGTAATTCGCGTTTGTGACATAGCCAGAAGAGCGAAATCCTAGTTTTTGGTCCTCTGCCTTGAATTCAACAAGTTCGTTGGCCACTGCGCTTCCATGGATTTGACGTATTCTGTCGATGGTGTTGGCAGCTACCGGCGTTGAAATGCTTACGCCAGAGTCGCCGTGTTTGCGACAGGAGAAGGCCACACCAGAGCAATGTACGGCGTAACGGCCAACAACATCCAGTATCTTGGCATACTCTTCACTCGCTGAACGGAATGCTCGCCGCCTCGTTGGAACATTGTAAAAAAGGTCCTCGACCTGACCAAATTGGTTAATATCGCACCAGTTATTAAAGTGGGGGTTCCACCCACAGTTATTTGAGTGCCACCTCGTCCAGCAGTGGCCTTGGGGGTAGCAGGCTGCCCAGGTTTTGGAGGAACAAGCTTTCCATCACTGTAATGTGCTCTCCAGGCACAACTTGAGCCAGCGGTTTTGGTGGTTACGGTGAGATGAGCTATATGGCTGATACTGGCTAATGCCTCGCCTCGAAAACCATACGTACCAATGGATGTTAAATCCTCGAACTGCTTTAACTTCGAGGTGGTGAACCTTTCACAAAGAATGGGCAGATCATCCCGCTTTGTTAAATTAGTGACTTCGTTTCATTACTAATGTTGGCGGATTTGACTCACGTCTATGCCGTGGCCATTGTCTGTGATCTGCAGCAGCTTCAGTCCACCATCCTTTACTAGAATTTCAAGGGATGTGGAGCCAGCATCAACTGCATTCTCGATTAATTCTTTCAGAGCGTGCATAGGGGCTACTATGATCTCTCCGGCGGCGATCTTATTCACAACATCTGGATCAAGTGCCTAATTACATAATTAGTTGGATATGTCGAGGCGTGGCTTAGGCTGTTGGAACTGACTCTGATTCTTTTAGGTTTTTTCGACGCTTCAACTTCTTCAGCTGCCCGTTTGGTACCACGAGGCTCCGGAGCATCCACGTCCATTTCAGGATCCATGGTTCTCGAATAGAGTTGTACTAATCGATAAGTTCTATTGTTGCCTATCAGCTCTGTTCTGCTCAAGTGGCTTATATAGCTGACGCCGCGTGGACCGGCGAGGTAAATAGGCGATTATGGCCTTGACGCGACGTGGGCTTGGTGATTAGAGATATTTCTGTGGACTTTATACCAATGTTTCCCATTCAATTCTGTCCGTTGTTTAAAATGTATTAATAAGTATTGAGCCGATCACGTTGGAAACAAAGCGGTGGAGTAAATCATGTGTCAGTTCTGGAGTTAAGAAGCCGTTTAATTTTATTTAATTTATTTTTGTCGCGGAATCCCGCAACCGAACTATGCGCAATCGCCCCTACTTTAATCTGAGGTCAATAACCCGCCTTTTCTTCTTCTGTACATCTCCATAGTCAAATGCCATACTTGAATCCAACAGCTCCCCCGGAGCTATCATATACATGCGCAAACTATGCTAACTACCAAGAGGCCGTTTCTGGCTGATGAAGAGTTGGGGAAGAAGGATGACGACCATCGGCCACGGAAGCCTTCGCATTTTTGGCGCTCGTCAAAACAATGGAAGCCACCACGACTGCGGCGAATCGTACTTGGAGTTGCTGCATTGTATATGCTCTATGTCTTCTTTAGAAATATGCCCACCGATCTTTCGCCTGCCCCGGAGCGGTTGAACCCTGCACTTGCAGAAATGCGACAGAAAGCTGGAATGTCATGGTCTCCTCCCACACCATCGTCCGCCATCCCTCAACGGGGCCCTCCTCCACGGGACGAGTTTGCGCCCGAAGGGAGTCTTTACTATGAGGGAAGCGTTCTCTTCCACTCGCTTGGTCAAACTTTGTATAGGTTTCGCAAATTCCCTGGTGCCCATGGATTGCCTGCCAGTCGTGCAGTTATCTTTGCTGGTGCAAGTCTGAAAAGCATCTCGGATCTTCTCCCTCTCGCCTGTAAAATGGCTTATCAAAGGGCCAATGAGGTTCATCTTGTGCTCATGGGGAGGGATGGCGTCTCGATTGAAGGAATCCAGCATGTAAATGGCATCGATGACAGCGACTGCCCTATCTATTGGCATGGTATGTTTAGACAATATTCTCGCAGGTGTCTGAAACAATGTGCTGAGACTTAGCTTGTAGATGGTCGGGTAGATTATGCGCAGTGGTCGACGGATGCTCGCATGGAGAGGGCTGTTGCAGCCGGGTTAGCTTACGTGCAAGCTTATCTATCTCCCCAAGCGGTGATCACACAAGGCGAATCTTTGGAAGAGGTGTTTTTCTTACAAGGTATTGAGAAGAAGGCCCGAGAGCTCAGCACCACCCATATCGTGCTTCCCACCGCGGCTAGGGATGTTATGTGGATGTCTTCCTTGGATAGTCAATCCCTTCAAGGTATTTATATAGATCGGAATCCACTATTTCTATGTACATGATGTCGAGACTAACCCATCACTGATCAACAGCGTGGAACGATGTGCGCGTTGAGATTCTGATTCAAGCTCCTACCGAATCCTCGGGGTCTTTTATCAGATTAATTCGATCCCTGAAAGATGCGGACTACCTTGGGTCAGTGCCCGGCCTGACTATTGAATTGCCCCATGATGTAGATCCGGAACTTCTCCAGTTTCTGAAGACGATGAAATGGCCTTCTAATGCCTCGAACAAGGTCACTCTCCGCCGACGTGTGCGACATGGCGTTTTGGATGCGGCCGAAGCTGCTTTGAGAACTGCGGAGGCTTTCTATCCCCAGGATCCAAACATGACCCATGTGCTTATGCTTTCCCCGCAAACAGAGTTATCGGTCTCTTTTTACCACTACCTAAAGCATACTGTGTTGAAATACAAATACTCGGCAAACGCGGAACAGACGGCATCTGACCTACTCGGAATATCATTAGAGCTTCCGTCCTCACTTCCTACTAAGGATGAATCATCCAACTCTCCAATTATTGATACCTATCGCCCCGCGAGCTTAGATGAAAGAGAGGCCATGCCTGTCTCCTTGGGACAGGTTCCGAACAGCAACGCCGCGTTATATTTCGGAGACAAATGGGTCGAGTTCCAGTCCTTTATTTCAGAGCGGCTTGCCAAGGAAGAGACTTCGTCTCATGAGAAGGTCATCTCGGAGAGATATCCGGCTGTTATGGAGTACTTACTGGAGTTCATGCGCGCAAGAGACTATTATTTACTCTATCCAGCTGCTAGCGGCACTCAGACTCTAGCGACTGTTCATAGTGACTTATTCCAAATCCCGGAAGAATATTCTGAAGAAGGCTGGACCTAGTCTACCAAGTCTGACAACGTTGACGACCGGTCCAACCGAACGCGAAACCGTCTCTCAAATACTTTTGTACACTTTCTTTATGAGTACTGGTAAGAGATACCCCTGCGGTATATCAAAGTTATTGCACGGTATTCTGTGTACCTTGAATGTAAAATCAATTAGAAGGCACGAAGTATTTGTGAGTGGCAAGGAGAGATGATGGATGATGTACATGATACTTACTATCTTCGACAGCTTTATGATGTCCATTGAGGTACCTTTAAGCAACCTATTCTTCTGGCCTTTTACTAGTTGGCGGCTCGAAACGCGAGTTGTTTCTGTTATATGTTTCTTTTTTGACCAGGTCCAGAAAAGGCGCTTCGTATTTAGTCATACTGACGAGCTTATGTCCAAACCATTCCTATATCGCATTATCTGTCTATAACTGAAGGTAAGCATGGTAGCAAATGTACTCCGTATGTATGTAAGAATTTCTTGGCGGGGACTGGTCTTACATAATCAGGCGGTAGCTCCACCGGCAGCGCAACGCAATGGCGATGAGCGACAGCTCTCTCTCTGCTTCCATCAACAAGCTCACCCTCCCGTCTCTGCCCCATCGCTCGTCGTGCAGAGGCTTGTTCTACTATAATTATCCGGTTTTCTCACACTTTCCACTTCCTTTCTTTGATTCATAACCCTTAAATTTCTCGATAGCACATAGATATACTTTGACGCCAGTTATCCGTCAGAATGGCGAAAGAAGGCGAGCGGTCAGCTTCCGCCGACAAGGGCAAAGGCAAGGTTGATGATGTGAAGGACCTGCCCGGGGCGAAGAAGGCCCCGACCGATGAAAAGCAACAAGCCGATGGAAAGAAGAAGGATGAAGAGCCCAAGGAAGGTATGCTGTGGTCTTGAGTCAAAGCCGCTTGTGTGCACCGGGCAATGCTCCGGCCCTATGCGGATGCTAACAGGACGAATCATCTAGAAGAGCTAAGTGAAGAGGATCAGCAACTGAAAAATGAGCTGGAGATGCTCGTAGAGAGATTAAAGGTATGGTTCTTCAACCTAGGCCTAAGATATGCTGAACGATGACGTTAACCTGCCCGCTTTGCATCTAGGAACCCGATACCGCCCTTTACGGTCCCGCCTTAGACGCCATTAAGAACTTTATTAAGACTTCAACCTCTTCGATGACAGCTGTTCCGAAGCCTCTTAAGTTCCTCAGACCACACTACGATGAGCTTACGGAGCTCTATGAGAAATGGTCTGCTGGCTCCGTTAAGGTTGGTATCTCTTTCTGGGTATGGTCGGTATGGGGACTAATCATACATTGATAATTTAGGACTCCTTGGCCGATATGCTTTCAGTGCTCGGAATGACTTACGGAGATGAGGAGAAACTTGAGACACTGAAGTACCGGCTGTTGACAAAGTCAGAGGACCTTGGTTCCTGGGGACACGAATACATTAGACATCTGGCATTGGAAATTGGCCAAGAATACCAGAACAGGTTAAATGCTGAGAAGGGTGTACAGGATTTGATCGATCTTGCGCTGTCTCTTGTCCCATACTTCTTGAGCCATAATGCCGAAGCTGATGCTGTTGACCTTCTGAGTGAGCTCGAAATCATCGAAGAGATCCCGCGCTTCTTGGACGAGAACACATACTCGAGAGTCTGCCTATATATGGTATCCATGGTCAATCTCCTCACATATCCCGAAGACCAGCAGTTTCTCCGAACGGCCCACGAAATCTATGTCCGCTACAAGGAATTTACCAAGGCAGTTGTCCTCGCGATCCGTTTGAACGACACCGAGCTGATTAAGAGTGATATCAATGCCACCTCGGATAGATCCCTGAAGAAACAGATGGCTTTCCTTGTTGCCAGACAACAAATATGGCTAGACATGCCTGATGAGGAGGAAGACCAGTCTTTCATGGATTGCCTTAACAATACCTTAATCCCCAGTCACTTCAAGTCTCTCGGAAAGGAGCTCAACATTCTCGACCCCAAGATGCCGGAAGATATTTACAAAACGCACCTGGAAAGCAGCCGTGGAGCTGGTTTGACTAACGTCGACTCTGCGCGCCACAATCTCGCCAGCGCCTTTGTCAACTCATTTGCCAATGCTGGATTTGGAAATGACAAGATGATGCTAGTTGAAGGTGACAAAGGCCCTTGGGTCTGGAAGACAAAGGACGATGGCATGTTGTCTACAACGGCTTCAATGGGTATGCTAATGCACAGGGATGTCGATGTTGGTCTTGATAAGATCGACAAGTTCACATATGCCACGGAAGATCAGATTAAGGCCGGTGCGCTGCTGTCTATTGGTATCCTAAACTCGGGTGTCCGGTTGGATTCCGATCCTGCTCTGGCGCTTCTGAGCGACCCCGAAAACCTGGAAGCTGAGAACGTGCCAATGAGAGTCGCATCTATTATGGGTCTTGGTTTGGCCTACGCTGGATCTAATAAGGAGGATCTCCTCGATGTTTTGCTTCCGATTGTCGAGGATGTGTCGCTTGATATGCAACTATCTGCTATGGCCGCCGTCTCCTTGGGTTTGATTTTCGTCGGTTCCTCGAATCATCAAGTTAGCGAGGCAATTGCCACGACCCTGATGGATGAGGAGCGCCAGAAGCAGCTCAAGAACAAGTGGACGCGTTTTATGGCGCTTGGTCTGGCCCTTCTTTACTTCGGCCGTCAAGAAGAGGTTGATGTCATTCTTGATATTCTCAAAGCTGTGGACCACCCTATGGCTAAACCCACATCTGTACTTGCCTCTGTCTGCGCGTGGGCTGGAACAGGTACAGTTCTCAAGCTGCAGGAACTCCTGCACATCTGTAATGATATCATTGAAGAGAGCGATGAAAACAAGGGCGACGAGCTTGTTCAGTCATACGCTGTGTTGGGTCTGTCGCTAATTGCTATGGGTGAGGAAGTCGGCCAAGACATGATTCTAAGACAGTTCGGCCATTTGATGCATTACGGCGCGAGCAACATCCGGAAGGCCGTTCCCCTTGCTATGGGTTTGATTACCCCTAGCAACCCACAAATGAAGGTGTATGACACCTTGTCGCGTTACAGCCACGACAATGACAACGACGTTGCCATCAACGCAATCTTCGCCATGGGTCTTTGCGGTGCTGGTACCAATAATGCTCGTTTGGCACAGCTACTCAGACAGTTGGCCAGCTACTACCACCGTGACCAGAACTCTCTGTTCATGGTCCGTATTGCCCAAGGTCTCCTGCACATGGGCAAGGGCACCATGACATTGAATCCTTTCCACACTGATCGCCAGGTCCTGTCACGTGTCTCGGCTGCCGGTCTGCTCACAGTCCTCGTATCTATGATCGATGCCAAACAATTCATTCTTGCAGAACACCACTACCTCCTCTATTTCCTTATCACCGCCATGTATCCTCGCTTCCTTGTTACACTCGACGAGGACTTACAACCCCTCACCGTGAATGTGCGAGTGGGACAGGCTGTGGATGTTGTTGGACAGGCTGGACGTCCCAAGACCATCACTGGCTGGCAAACACAAAGCACCCCAGTCCTTCTCGCATACGGTGAAAGAGCAGAGCTTGAAGATGAGCAGTATATCCCTCTCAGCAGCACACTCGAGGGGTTGGTCATTCTGCGCAAAGTAAGTCCTCCTTCTACTCCTGCATGGATAATAAGATAACTAACAGTCTTCGTTACAGAATCCCAACTGGGAGGGTGAGCAGAGTACTGCTTAAGAAGTGATATACTGTTTTTCTATAAGTTATGCGGGTTAATCCAGCGCAGGAAGACACTGCCAGCGCTCTGATATGATTTGGTCTAATGTATTCAGCACGAGTCGGAAAATGACATGCATTGTTTTCCATGATTAAGCCATGGTTTCTGTATCTGGTTAGATATCGGTGGAGGTAGAGTACGGGTCTTATACTGAGTATAATCAATAACCCAACTTTTACACTGAATCTGAGAATCGGCCCTGCGTAGAAACTAAATATGACTAGGATAGAACTAGATAAACGGTGGGTATAGCTATTCCCGCCTACTATTCCTGATTATAGATGGGCAAGTTGCGGTCCACTGCCCTCGAGGTCCCCAGAAAAGGTGAATATTGCTCCCGGAAAGGAAAGTAGGGCATAGGGCAAAGGGGTGTCACTTTTTCTCCATCCATGTCCGCGGCATCTCTCAGTTATGCAGTCTGCGGTTTAAGAAAGTCACTGGTTCTATTGTCCTAGGTGTCAGTGACTATAGAACATCATGAAGCTCGATGCAAAGGCAATTCGTTACCTCACCTCTGAGGATTTTCGTGTTCTCTCTGCGGTATGCCCCTCATCACCCCCGCGATTCCTTGCCGCTTTGGTAGCTTGTTGTCTGACAGCTAATAAAAGACGTTTCTAGGTTGAGACAGGAAGCAGAAATCATGAAGTTGTTCCGACGCCGTTAATCGCCAATATCTCAGGTCTTCGAGGTGGTAGTGGTGTAAATCGAGCTATTTCGAATTTGGCCAAAACCAATCTTATTGCGAAGGTGAAGAATGCCAAATGTACGTCGTGTATCGCGCTCTCTCTTTCGCCGTGTCTCTAAGCGAGTTGCTAATTGTCACTGTTCCTATAGACGACGGATATCGTCTCACCTACGGTGGCCTCGATTATCTCGCGCTTAACGCTCACCAAAAGCAAAAATGCGTCTACTCCGTCGGAAACCAAATCGGTGTCGGAAAGGAATCAGACATTATCGTGGTTGCGAACCACCAGGGAACACAGCGCATTCTCAAGATCCATCGTCTCGGTCGCATTTCTTTTCGAACAGTCAAAACTAACCGAGACTACCTACGACACCGGCAAACTGGCTCGTGGATGTATATGTCACGCTTGGCGGCGATGAAGGAATATGCGTTCATGAAGGCACTTGGAGAGAACGGGTTTTCCGTACCAGAGCCTATCGCGCAGAACAGACACACAATTGTCATGAGTCTTATTGACGCCTTCCCACTACGCCAGATCTCGACGGTTCCGAACCCAGCGCTCCTGTACTCAGAGCTCATGGACACGATCATGAGATTAGCTCGGTATGGGTTGATCCACGGTGACTTTAACGAATTCAATATCCTCATCAAAGAAGAGGAAGACCCGAATGCGAAGGGCAAAGCCCCAGCAGACGCAGAGAACGACGAGAACATCCGGCTGGTTCCGGTCATCATTGATTTCCCGCAGATGGTATCGATCGACCATGCGAATGCAGAAATGTACTTCGATCGTGATGTGAATTGTATTAAGCGTTACTTCCAGCGGAAGTTCCGTTATGTGAGCGATGAGCCAGGCCCGTTCTTCGCTGACGCTAAGAAACAGCTTCTTGAGAACCCTGGAAAGCGGTTGGACGTTGACGTTGAAGCATCAGGGTTCTCAAGGAAGATGGCTCGTGAACTGGAGGCATACATGAAGGAAGTCGGCGCCAATGAAGAAGAAGAGCGAGGAAGCGATGATGAGGATCATTCGGGGTCTGAGGACGAAGCTGAGGAAGACGTGAACGCAGAAGATGAGGAGAGCGGTGCCAAAAAGTCGAAGGAGTCTGAATCTGATGCAATCACCGAGAGTTCTCAACGACTGGGCGAATTGCACGTTTCGTAGACATGAAGGGCAGCAAAAAGTTTAATGAGTAGATTTAGATGATAGTAATGACCATTATGAGCGTTTAAAGATTAAATTGCTCGAATGCGTTTCGGCAGCATTCAAATTTCAACTTGTGCATAACTAGATATATTTTCTCCTTGCCTCTTTTTTGTTTTGTTATTTTGGCATTATTACTTATTTATCTGGCCCTCTGACTAGTCCTTCTCTTGTTACAGAATTGAAACGGCTTTAAATCCGTTGGCCAAAACTACTACTACGGCAAGCGACGCGGCCACACGCGCAACTTTGCGAAAGTTCCGCCGAGCCTAAAGCCCGAACGATATCAAGTTCTCCTCGACGAAAACCGACCCAAAGCCCCAACAGCACCAACCCACTCAATACCACCCATTGGGCGCACAAATAAACGGCAAAATGGTCCGCAGATTCTCCAAGTTTCCCAAGAAGCCCGCAGACTGGGTGCCCCCGTCGGCGCCGCTGTCCATGCGGAAACAGGTCTTCCTGTAAGTTGCAGCAAGCACACGCAGATACCGCTTCAAACCGAAGAGAAAAAACCCGCAATGAGAAACAATGCGTTCTAATCCTGATTGCACCCAGTCCCGACTTCACAATCGCTCTCATCCGCACACCGTTTCTGCCTCCGCGATACGCTTCCTTCTACGTCCCGCTGAACTTCAACAAATTGGATATGCGCGACTACCTGAAACGTCTGTATGGGGTTGATGTGCTCTCCGTGAGGAGTTACGTCGAGCAGCAGAAGGTTACTCGGCTTCGTCCTTTGGGTAAATTTGGGTACGGGAAGTTGAGGAGACCTATGTCGAAGAAGAAGATGACGGTTGAGATGAAGACTCCGTTTGTTTGGCCTGAGGCACCGGCTGATATGGCTCCGTATGTTTTCTTTCCCGCTCCCCTCGATTGTTTTCGATTTTGCTTGGGTTTTCTTTTACATACTGGAGTGGGGGATGTGGGCTAACGAGGTGGTTGTGTCAATTACAGATGGGAGTACGAGCAGTTCCACAAGGCGGCCAAATATCAGAACGATATCCAAGATAAGCAACGGCCGGACGCGGGTATGAAGGCGAACACGGATGAGCGTGATGCTTACGCCGAGGAAGCGAAGAAGCTGCTGGACGGCTCGAAACCCTGGAGACCTACTTGGCAGGCTTTGGGACTTAGCTATGATCGGACGGGACTTGGCAAGAGCTCGACTAGCTCATGAGTGGTTTCTGTTTCGTGATTGTTTCTTTCTTCCTTGTGTTTCTTTCTTGTTAGGCCTGGAAGGCCGGGTATAGAAAAGCGGCTTTACTCTTCACGCTTTGGTGATCTGGTCTGTGTTTGGGGGACCTTTTCCTTTTTCTATCATGTGGTGACTATTGCAATACTCTGTATTATATGCTGTCTCAATATATTCAAAGTAACTGTTATAGTATGTTCTACTGGTGTAGTAATGAAAGAGGGAAGAGAAAAAGGAATATTATACTGAATGAAAAGAATTGCAGCGACAGAAGCAGAAAAATTATTGACATGGTGCACACGACAGGCTATGCTGTACGTAGCAGACGCCAGGTTATATAAACGAGACAACACGCTATGCAAACATCACATGAGTAGAGATACGCTAAAAGAAGCTAAACGCAAAATGCAAACAAGCATACAAATGGACGGTCTCCTCAGCTAAAGAACTATAGTCGGCTCTCGACAAAGTTCTCATGATGCTGACCAGGCCAGTGTGCATCGGGCCATACTTGTCGGATGGCTTCCCAGATATGGCTGGAAAATTGTCAGTACGCAGCAAGAACGGAGTATAGATGAATCTTACCTGACATAGATGATCTCGAGACCATCGCTGACCTCTTGAGGAACGTCCTTGACATCCTTGCGGTTCTGATAAGGCAAGAGAACGGTCTTGACACCAGCACGGAGTGCCCCAATGAGCTTCTCCTTGATACCCCCAACAGGCATCACTCTTCCACGGAGAGATACCTCTCCAGTCATTGCAAGCTTGGGGGGTACAGCCTTGTTCGAGAACAGTGAGATCAGTCCAATAGTATGTGCAAGTCCAGCGGAGGGGCCGTCCTTGGGAATGGCTCCGGAAGGACAATGAACGTGCAAACTGCGGCTCTTCATGATATCTTCGCTGGGATCCGGAGTCAGCCCCAGCTCGTAAGAATGAGCTTTGACCCATGTCAAGGCCACCTCAACACTCTCTTTCAAGACGTCACCCAGCTTGCCGGTAAGTTGTACGCGACCATTTCCTGGCATGTCTGCAACTTCGATGAACAGAATACTACCCTGTCCTCCTGTAGAGTAAGCGACAAGACCGGTAACAACTCCCGGACGCCCATGCTTCTCAGCGATCTCTTCTTCGAATCGCTCGATACCAAGTATCTCCTCCAGGTCATCCATTGTAACAATGGGATTGTAAGTTTCCGGATGACCTGCATCTCCCGCATCGGCATACTGGACTGCTTTATAACGGCAAATTGAGCCGAGCTCGCGCTCTAGGTTACGGACGCCAGACTCTCGGGTGTATGAAGTAATTGTTTTGTCAATAACCTCATCAGAAAGGATGACTTGACCTTCTGAGAGCCCATTGGTTTCAATCTGCTTTGGAATCAGGTGCCTCTTTGCAATATGCCGTTTCTCGACGGTAGTGTAACCAGACAACGAGATCGTCTCCATACGATCAAGCAAAGGTGGAGGAATAGTATCAAGCGAGTTAGCAGTAGCAATGAAAAGAACCTTGCTCAAGTCGATTGGGATATTGATGTAGTGGTCTGTGAATGTATGGTTCTGTTCGGGGTCTAAAACCTCGAGCATAGCCGCAGAAGGATCTCCCTGAAAATTGGCGCCGCCGACCTTATCAATCTCGTCGAGCAAGAAGACCGGGTTCGCAACGCCAACTTTCTTGAGGCCATTGACAATTAGACCTGGCATTGCGGCAACATATGTCCTGCGGTGACCCCGAATCTCCGCCTCGTCTCTAACGCCACCGAGAGAAATACGGTGAAATTTACGTCCAAGAGAAGTGGCCACAGACCTCGCTAGACTAGTCTTACCAGTTCCGGGAGGCCCAGCAAGCAGCAGAATCGGAGACTTGTCAGTCATGCGCTTCGACTTCAGAAGATGGAGCTTAGATTCGACAGCAACACGATCTGCCTCAGACAGGCCTGGGAGGTCCTTCTCAATATCGCCTGCATCGGAAGAACTATCAAGGTCCTTAGAGAGGGCGGCAATTTGATGTTCGACGTTCTGGTTCGTGGACTGCTTCAGTCTAAGAACGGCCAAATACTCAAGAAGCCGCTTCTTAATCTTTTCGAGACCGTAGTGGTCGTCATCAAGTTGTTGCCTGGCTCTTTTCAAAGTGTCGGGACCGAGTTGGTCTTCAGTGACCTTGGTCCATGGGATTTCCAAGATGTTCTCGAGATACGTCCGGCAAACACCGTATTCGGCATTGGCCGGGTTCATCTTCCGAAGGCGACGCAACTCCTTATCGGCCACCTTTCGAGCCTCGGGGCTAAGCTGGGCCTCTTGTAGCTTTTGTTGAAGCTCATCAACCTCGTTTGCCTCTTTGTCGTCGCCGTCGTTATTTCTTCCGCCTGCGACGCCTGGGGGTGTCAGCCCAGTAAGACCAGCCATAGCCCGTCTCGCAAGAAGCTCGCGATCACGAGGATCGATCTGGTTGACGTCAAATGAAGGGAAGCTATTCGTGGTGATGGTGGTGACTTTAACATTGCTCTTGATACTTTGAACTTGTCTATTAAGCATTTCAACCACTCTTTCAAGTCTGGATTTATGGTCCAGCGAAGCTAAGACCCGCAGCTTGTCTTCGATTCCAGATTCAGCAATATCAGCCATAAAATCAGCTAACCTCCCGGCCTGTGTCAAATCTGTTTTCGAAATGAACAGCTCGAACTTGCGGGCAATGAGTGGCGATAAACGTGTTGAAGAAGAAGGTAACAGCGAGGAAAGTCGTAATAGGGTCAGTAGCTCCCGGGAGAGTCGCCTCAACTGCTGGAATAGCTCAACGGTTTCCGGATCATTAGACACATAGTCTGTCCAAAAAGAAAGGAACCCATCAGTTTCGGTGGCACTACATGTCAAAAACGGTTTGTAGACTAACCTTTCTCGTCATGTAAAATGGCTTCTGCTTCAAAATAAGGCCTTTCCTTCAGGATGCGTTTTACTGTGAATCGCTGGATTCCCTGAACCACAAGGGACGCCTCTGAGTAGGCACGGCGTTGGACGCCAATAACTTTGCCGATTGTGCCATAACGGAAGAGATCTTCCTTCCTTGCCTGGCCTGCATCAATGGCATCAAACTCTTCTCTCCTACTTTCATCCAAAGTTCCGTTGTCAATCAAATGTTGACCATCCTTACTTAAGAACGGCGAGTTAAGGGGAACGCAACCGAACGTGATCACGTTCCCCTCTCGCTTTACGGCCGATGATCGATCAACCAGGGACGAAAGAAGATTGGAAAGATCAGGTCGATTAGCGACAGGGATCCGTAGGGTAACTCCGGGGAGGAGAACAGAGCCTTTAGGGAGTGGTACGAGAGCAAGCTTGGTAGTTCTTCCGTTGTTGGAGCCCATCGCGATCTGTTCGATCGGAAAGACACTTCACACGTCTGGGAAGAAAAGTAAGAATAGCAAGGAAAGAAAAGAACTAGAGCAACTTTAATGTATGAGGGACCGGATAGTGGTAGGAAAGGAAGGGAGATGAAAGGAGCGGTCTCCTAAGGAAGTACAAGAAGGTTGTCGGTTATAAGGTAGTGGAGGCGACGGTTCCAGAACCCCATCGATGAAGTCCGTGACTCTGGGGAGATGATCGCCAGTGATAAGCCGTCTCCCGATGCCGAGGTTCGTGTGGCTACAAATCCGTCTGTCACAAATCCGGGGAAAAAGGGTGAAGGAAGGCTGATGCCTGTGTTTCAGCGATAGGTAAATCTTCCCCAGGTAAAGAAATCAAATATTACACAGATTCACAAGCAACTGTCAAGTCTTTCATCTCTAGTTCATTTGTGTTGTATCTTCCGTCTTATCTTTGTCCGTTTTCCGGTGATCTCGTGATCTTCCATATAAGATCAGTCGGAATTTATTCGGATTACCGATACAATACAGTCAATACAGTACTACTACCGCTTTTGTCCTTCCATTTCTGGCTCCAACCTTAGTTTTTCGGCAGCCTCCAGCCAGACGTTACGCCACTCCTCCTCCCATTGCATATTACTCTGTCGTTTAACCGACTCTCCTCAGAGGGATTATCATTTTACGAGCAGCTTCGCAGATTCTGTACTCTTGAGAGGACATAGTGCAATACTCTCGCTTTCAAGTGTCGCCATGGCCTCTACATCGAACCCCGCCTCTGGCGCCGCCAACCCCTCATCGCGGAAAACATTCACCGTTGGGACTCGCAAGTCTAAACTTGCCCTTTCGCAAACTGATCTGGTGGTCTCGGCACTTAAGGAGGTTTACCCTAACTATGAATTCAAAATACACTCGCAGGAAACTGCCGGCGATTTGAACACAACCATTGCTTTTCGAGAATTTACGACGAAGAACCTATGGACGGAGGAGTTAGAGCAACACTTAATGGCCGGCAATGTGGACTTAATTGTTCACTCATTAAAAGGTTTGCTATCCGCGTATCTTAATAACAATGTTGCAAGGGACGCTGATAGTGACTGTCCTCAGATGTACCAACTACCCTACCCCCCGCGTGTACACTGGGCCCTATGATGGAGCGTGAAGATTCCAGGGATGTCCTGGTCATCAAGAAAGGGCTACCGAACATGTCTTTATCCGATATGCCTGCAGGATCCGTCGTCGGCACCTCTTCCATCCGCCGTACTGCTCAATTGGCCTTGAAATACCCTCACCTAAAAGTTATTGATGTGCGCGGGAATATCGGTACACGACTCTCCAAACTAGATGCGGAAGATTCACCTTATACTTGCATTATCCTGGCAGCCGCCGGTTTACTTAGACTAGGTCTCGATGATCGCATCTCGCAGTACCTGGACTCGAAAAACGGCGGTATGCTTTATGCAGTCGGCCAGGGTGCGTTGGGCATCGAAATTCGAAAGGACGATCAGGTGATGCGTGATATGCTGAACAATATTGGTCATAATGAGACGACTTTTGCCAGCACCGCGGAGCGAAGTCTGCTACGAACCCTTGAAGGCGGCTGCAGTGCGCCACTTGGGGTTGAAACCGAATGGATTATATCCTCCGACGGTGCGAAGAAGCTCCGAATGAGGTCCATCGTTGTCAGCGTGGATGGTAAGGAAAGCGCTGAGGTCGAAATCGATGGAAATGTCGACTCCGTTCAAGCTGCTGAGGATTTTGGCGTGACTGTTGCCAAGGAATTAGTAGTCAAGGGAGCAGGGAAGATCCTCGAGGATATCCAGCGTAATAAGCAGGCGGCTTGATCATAACAATGTATAGATAGACATCCTGTGGCGGAGGGCTGGTCTTCTCCGTGATTCAGAAATTGTATCTAGACGGAAAATTGTACATAACTGAGAAAATCTCAGACGTGCCATTGAAAAGCAGCACTACATGGAAGCCTGTAGCCCTCCCATAAATACATAATCTGTAACTACGTTTCTTGAGTCTTGAGATGATAATGGCAGACAACGAAAGAATCCCAATGTCATAGATAGATCTTAACAAGCATCGCAAGACAGCGTAATTGGGGCCCCGAAATTATGATGTGAGAGGGAACTAAATGGGAAACAGAGGATTCAATCGATATTAACCTCTATTCAGGGTGTTTCCCGAGCCTCGTGGGTTGGCTTCTGTGAACTCATCCCAGGCTCTAGCTTTCATAGTTTCTTCATCAGCCCTATCCATATCGTCCTCATCAACTTCCTCTTGTACACCAGACTTCTCGCCACCTTCAATAATGCCGCCTCTTCTCTTCTCTTCTTCGAGATATTCGTCGATAGTCATCGTAGGTAAATTGTGACCAGATCGGAAAACACCTTGCTGGAGCTGTGTCCGCCGATCAAGTAGTGTAAATGGCTGCAATGGTTTCCCATCCTTACTCAATATCGGTCCAAACTTGCCTCCTTGTAACAGTTGGGAAATGGGAGGATCCAATCGTTCAGAGTATACCGAGTGTTGGGCGTCCTTCCGGCGCCTAGTGTCTTCGGGTGGGATTTGATCATGGGTAGGTGCCGCGTTGCGAATGGACGATAGCATAGACAGCTCTTGTGAAAGAAGGTCCAAGGATTGAAACGTCTGATGAGTATACAGTTTGATCTCTGCAATATAGAGCTGTCGAACATCTTCATCGTCGGTCTGGAGCCGGCTTTGATTATCCGAGAGGTACTTCAGATACGTCAGCAAAATTGCCAACTCGTCAAAGTGGAGTCTATCCAACCTGAAGCCTCTGTTTGAGCTCCTTTTCTTCCCTAAACCTATTTATCTTCACCTCTCTCCGGGCAGCGGCGTCATTGACAGGCGTCAGCGAAAAGGACGCCGGGTTCGCAGTATACCGTTCATAGAGCTTTTTATCCTTATCATTGAGTAATTCATAATCATCCAAGCGCGTGAGGTATCTTTCGTATTGCTCAAGTGCACGTCGAAGGCTAGACACGCGGTCTGAGTTGTACGATCTCTGTAGGAGCTCCGCAAGATGGTATGACACCGTGAGATACCTAGTGTGAACCGGAAGAAATTAGTCTGGGTCGGGATATAGAAACTATGAGTGGGTAAGATTACGGTAAATCCCCAGTTGCGATATCTTCCAGCGGCTCGTTCGAGCTGAATAACGATAGGACCGCAACGAGCCGTGCGCATTCCTCAAGCTTGGCTATTGTGGCATTGACATCATTGCGATATTGATCTGTGTTAGTATCGAAGCGACTTTCCAATGCTGACTTCTCTAATTTTGCAGCAGCAAAAATCGCGCGAAGGTTCTGGGGTTGTTCCATTGTCGGGGTTCGGGGTAGTATGCTTGTAAAGATCAAAGCCGCATAAAACAGAGCTCCGCGGAGAGGGGTAAAATAAAATTATAGAAATAGTTTAAGGTCAATTATGGGTCCGCTCCGCGCCATCGGAACCTCAGGCCCCACCAATTTAAACACACTTAATGTTGATGGGGTATAGGCAGACTTCGCAGGAGTATATACTATAAAGTCTCTTCAACAATCTATTGTAGACTTCCGTCTACCTTCTGACTCTGTTTATTATCGCTGAAAGGCTAACCAACAAAGGAACAAATACCAGCTAGGTTTACTTAACTACGAGAGATTTTTCAAAAATGACATGTTCTACATTATATAAATCCATGTGTTTACTAGACAGTCTTAGGCAGTGTAACATCATGACACCCATACTGCTACCTAGTTCCAGTATTTACTGTTTCCTCCACTTCACAGTGTGGTGTAAGCCTATTCACTTCGAAGGAAATTTTCTTTCACAACATCGTACCACTTATTCTGCCTTTCCTTTCAGTCACCAAGTACCAATCTGTACTATATTCCAATGCACACGTCCGTTTGATTCTCCTTGTATGATTTCTGAGCAATCTAGGCAAAGCCCAAATGCCATCATCAGAGGCACAGAGTCTAGCTGGCCATGTCAGTGGCCAAAGCCCCAGGATCCCCTCATGTATGAGTCTGCCTGAGGAAAAGACTATTTCTACAACCGAGCCAACGGAAGGAAAGGACAGCTCTTCAGAAGATCCAGGAGACAACGAACGAATACCCACTCAAAAGCTCGCTTATCAAAGGAAAAGACTCCAAAATGCCAAGTTCGAAGCTCTGTACGATCTCTGGCCCAGAGCTCTTTGCCACCCATAGCTGATTTATACTTAGGCTTTTTGAACGAGCTGATACTGTCCCCGGAAATAGTGCCAGACCCACGCTTGACTTGCCTGACGCTGAACTGTCTACAGCAAGCTTGGTAGCAAAACAAGATGCCGGGACTGGGATGCTTGACCCGAGAGAATATCAGGTAGAACTCTTTGAAAGGGCAAAGTCACAGAATACCATTGCTGTTCTCGATACCGGTACGTGCATCCTGGCCCAACTCAATAACTCTCATCAATTTCCTTTCGCCTAATTTTACTACAGGGTCTGGAAAGACCTTGATAGCCGTGCTTTTGCTAAAGCACATCATCCACAATGAGTTGATCGATCGCGCTAACGGAATGCCACATCGTATCTCGTTTTTCATTGTTCGTATACATGCAACGCCTCGCTGTTTTGGAGGCGCTAATTTGCAAATAGGTGGACAGCGTGACGCTTGCTTTCCAACAGGCGGCCGTCTTGCGCAACAATCTAGATCAGAATGTCGCACACTTTTTTGGCGCTATGGGCACCGACCTTTGGAGTAAACAGACCTGGGACCATCATTTTGAGAACAATATGGTGATAGTTTGTACCGCAGAGATATTGAATCAATGTCTACTCAACTCACACATTAGAATGGATCAAATTAACCTTCTCATCTTTGATGAAGCCCATCACACGAAGAAAGACCATCCTTACGCACGGTATGTATTTGGCAAAGCTGAGAAAAGAGAAAAACATACTTAGGCTGATGATAATGCCCTTATTCTTTACAGAATTATAAGAGAATCATATCTCCAAGCAGACCCGACAAAGCGTCCAAGAATCTTTGGAATGACAGCGTCGCCTATTGACACCAAGGGCGATATCATAGAATCAGCTATGTATGTCCTGCTGTATACAGTACAACGCCCTAACTTACATTCCATAGGAAACTGGAGGCTCTCTTAGACAGCAAGATTGCCACAACATCGAAACTTAGTCTATTAAGAGAAGTCGTCAGACGTCCGATAGAGGAATCTTGGGAATACGATACGCTCAATCCGCCGTTCGCGACCAAACTATATCAGATCTTGCAAGCCCGCTTTGGTGACATTAGCTCTTTGCAACCTGTGTTCAGATTTACGTTACAGGCTAGTTCTGAACTGGGACCATGTTGCGCAGATCGTGCATGGGCGCACGCCTTAGCAGACGATGTGTTACCGAAGCTTGAAGGAAACGTGAGAAAGCTAGCCCAATCTATATCACCACAGATTCCCGAGTGCGCTCTCAGGGAAATATCAAGGATACAGGAAGCTAGTGATATTATCAAGAATCATTCGTTGAATAGCCCCAACGGTCCGGGTGAACTGAGCCCTAAAGTACAACTTCTACGCCAAAAGCTTACCAAATACTTTGAGCATACAACGGAGACAAAATGTATCATCTTTACACAGAAGCGTTACACTGCCAAGATGTTATTCGACCTTTTCTCGACTTTAGAGATACCTCACCTACGGCCTGGTGTGCTGATTGGTGTCCGATCTGGTGATATAGTAGGAATGAACGTGTCGTTTCGCCAACAGTTTCTCGCTTTGGTGAAATTCAGGAGTGGGGAGATTAACTGCTTGGTAAGTAACACTAGCTCTCTGCGTCCGTTCACAGGTTTAACAAGTAAAAGTTTGCTACTTCAGTAGCCGAAGAAGGACTCGATATTCCTGACTGCAATCTTGTAGTTAGGTATGTATCACCACATTGTAGGTTCGCTTATGCTAACAGATTAGATTCGACTTATACAATACTCTTATACAGTATGTGCAAAGTCGTGGCCGCGCTAGACATTCAAGTTCGACGGTAAGACAAGAACCTGATCACTGATATGTCCAAAAACTCTGACTCCCATACACACAGTATGCAAGTATGATTGAAAGGTACAACACTGATCATAAAGCACGAGTGGTCGAGGTTCGGGAGGCTGAAGTAAGTGTAAAAAACTGATATACGGCTGATAGTTCTAACCCCAATATTAGAAACTTATGCAGAGTTTCTGTGAAACACTTCCAGAGGACCGAATACTTCACGGAATTGACAGCGCTCTAGACTCAATCCTCCAAGGTGAAGAAGAGAAGCGAACGTTTATGATCAAGGCTACAGGCGCGAAGCTGACTTACCACTCTGCCCTTGCTATTCTCGCACGCTATGCTAGCTCTCTGGTGAGCACCATCGTCCCGTACTGATACCGAAGAACTTTTAATTAAGATATCCGTGTTATCTAGCAATACGAAAAAGAGACATCAGCTCATGCTACATATGTGGTGCTTCCACAGAATAACAGTTTCGTTTGTGAAGTCATCTTACCGGAAAAGTCACCTGTTCGAGGGCTCACTGGAATTCCTGCATCGAAGAAATCCACTGCAAAGCAGTCCGCAGCCTTCGATACTTGTGTCTTGCTCCGAAAACACAAACTGCTCGATGATCACTTTAATTCAGTTTACCATAGGCGCTTGCCTGCCATGAGAAATGCGAGGCTTGCCATCACCTCTTCGCGTACAAACCAATACGGCATGGTATCGAAACCTTCGCTTTGGAAGAAACAACAGGGTAGCCTTCCTGAAAAGCTATACGCCACTGTTATATCATTTAAGCCTTCAGAGCCACTCAGACGCCGACACAGAAGCATAATCTTGTTCACTCGCGAGAGATTACCTGATCTTCCATCATTCACCATCTTCTTAGATGATGATATCGGGACCATAGTCGCTCTTGAATCTTTGGACGAAGTCCTACATATATCTAAGCAGGAATTGGAATATTTTTCAACCTTCACATTTCGTATTTTCCACGATGTGTTCCACAAGACCTACGAGGAAGAACCCGAGAAATTGCCATACTGGGTTGCTCCCGCAGGGACCACGAAGTCCAAGAAGGTCAGTGATCCAAAGACTCTGACGGATTGGGAACTGCTACTTCTTGTGCATCAAAACGAGGAGATACCTTTCACACTGCAAACATCTTCGGAGGCTTTGATAAATCGTTTTGTATTTGACCCGTGGGACGGAAGATATCGGTACTTCACCATGGCCATTGACAACACACTACACCCTTCGGATCCGCCACCACCCTTTCTCCTGCGCCGCAAGTTTATGGAGAACATCATGAGTTATACCTTAAGTGGTTCAAAAAATGCACGGGCAGGGTTCTTGTCAAGATGTAACTGGGAGCAACCAGTTTTAGAAGCCGAGCTGGTTCGCCTACGGAGAAACCTCCTGGACAAGATGACAGATATCGAAAAGGACGTCGAAACTAGATGTTTTATCTGCATAGAGCCACTGAGAATTTCCGCTGTCAGTTGAGCGCCTTTTATCGAATATAACCCAACAATCAGCTGCTGACTCGTTACTTAGATCCCCGAGGAAATTGCTGCTTCTTGCCTTGCCTTTCCGGCCATAATCAGCAGGCTGGATGCATATTTGATTGCCCTCGAAGGCTGCGAAGCCCTGAATTTATCCGTGAAGCCCGAATATGCGCTGGAGGCTTTTACGAAAGACTCCGATAACACGGAGGAGCATCGAGTGCAACAAATACATGTGCAGAGAGGGATGGGGAAAAACTATGAGCGCCTAGAGTTCTTAGGAGATTGTTTCCTAAAAATGGCAACATCAATTTCTCTTTTTGTGCAGAACCCGGATGACGACGAGTTCGATTTTCACGTAAACCGGATGTGCCTCATATGCAACAAAAACCTTTTCAACACCGCTCTAAAGCAGGAGTTATACCAGTATATCCGCAGTCGAGGCTTTTCAAGGTATGAAATTGTCTATACGCACCGAACCATAAGCTGACAGGAAGCCGTAGGCATACATGGTACCCAGACGGCTTAACCCTGCTTCATGGTAGAGACCACAGGAAGAAGATTTCGGCGGAGAGCAAACATGCACTTAGAGAAAAGACAGTTGCGGACGTTTGCGAAGCCTTGATCGGAGCATCATTGCTCTCAGGTGGGCTAGATAATCGGTTTGACATGGCTGTCAAAGCAGTCACTGCTGTTGTTGATAGTACCAACCATAAGGCCTTATGTTGGGCGGATTATGCTTCATCTTACATGTTGCCGAAGTATCAAACTCAGAGCCCAGACGGATATGAGCTGGATCTTGGCCGTAAGGTTGAGGAGAAACTGGGTTATCGTTTCAAATATCCTCGC